TACATACCAGCAATATTTACACCACAATAAGTGCACCCCGCGTGCCACTATTAAGGCTAATAACTCCTGGCACTTGTTTATTTTTAATAATTATGTAAAAACAAAAAATTCAGCCCAATCAGGTAAGCAGTGACGTCACAGAGAGACCGCAGGGTCAAGACGGGGTCGCAGACGCCAGTAAGCCTAAAAAATATCAAAATCAAATCAATCTAAGTCAAATCAATCAATCAAATCAATCTAAGTCAAATCAATCAATCAAATCAATGTGATCTAAGACGCACACCACCGCATTACGCCATATACGCTTAAGAATGTTTGTTAAACAGAATGAACCACATAAATACCAGAGAATTCACAAGGTCAAGAAAGTTAAAAAAGAAATAGATGCAACATCTCGAACATCAACAACATACTTGGCCCACTGGCAGTAATGCGCCACACCTGCCGCTCGCCACACCTGTTACTCGCCGCATCTGCCGCTCGCCACACCTGCCACTCGCCACACCTGCCGCTCGCTACACCTGCCACTCGCCACACCTGCAACTGGCCCATCTGCCGCTCGCCACACCTGCCGCTCGCTACACCTGCCACTCGCCACACCTGCCGCTCGTCCCACACTGTTACACGTATGTGTAGGAATGTACACGTATGAGGCGTATTTTCAGTGTATACGCGCGCGTATCCCTAGATGCAGGTGTAGGGTGCGTAGGTGGTGTGGGTCACAGGCGTGCGGGGAGGGTGGCGACCTGCTGGTGTGGCACCTCTTAGACGGTGACATCACCCCCCTAGTGCTCCCCCCCACCACCATTTGTCCCCCCAACCACCTAGGTGGGTGGGGGGGGGGGGAGGCGGCCCAAGGGCCAAGTGGCATGAAGGTCTCAGGAGACTAAGGGAGTGTGGCATGAAGGTCTCAGGAGACTAAGGGAGTGTGGCATGAAGGTCTCAGGAGACAAGGGAGTGTGGCATGAAGGTCTCAGGAGACAAGGGAGTGTGGCATGAAGGTCTCAGGAGACAAGGGAGTGTGGCATGAAGGTCTCAGGAGACTAAGGGAGTGTGGCATGAAGGTCTCAGGAGACAAGGGAGTGTGGCATGAAGGTCTCAGGAGACAAGGGAGTGTAGCAGGAAGGTCTCAGGAGACAAGGGAGTGTGGCATGAAGGTCTCAGGAGACAAGGGAGTGTAGCAGGAAGGTCTCAGGAGACAAGGGAGTGTGGCATGAAGGTCTCAGGAGACAAGGGAGTGTGGCATGAAGGTCTCAGGAGACAAAAGGGAGTGATACTGTAGTAGAAAGGACCTTAACGGCAAACATATACTGTACTAGTGGATAAATAGGAAGATTTTTTGTTATTAACAAGCTCAGGTACACACAGCAGTGGTTTCAAAATTAGGATTGAAGACGCTTTGGAATATTTATTAATAATATCTAGGGATAAAATGCACACCCATACAAGTTTTTCCTATCAACTTTCCGAAGAACTCGAAGTTTATAGATTTAAATAGTTTTTAATATAATCAACAGACTAAATACAATCATGATACTGCATCTAACGAATTACCTTATACATGTTAATTTAATTAGCTCATCAAAACAAATAGCCATCGAGTTCACAACTTATTACAACTAGTGACATATTAGCGTAAGTGTTTTTATACCTTAATCACTCTTCGAAGCTATGACCAAAGCTTCCAGCCTGAGGATGGCTATTCTAAATACTCACCAAATCACTATAACCAAAACAGCCAACCTATCTTCAGTAGAATTATGCAGAAACTCTCAATATACAAATAATTAGCAAAAAAAAGGCGCAACAATATATAACATTAATTCATATTTCTCGGAAAATGCAGTTTATTACACATGAAGAATTTATGCTTATTTGTATAAATTAAATATTATTATGAATGTATGCAGCAACTTTTTTTGCACAACCCAAATAATCTTTTTGGTAAATAAATAATGTAAAGTATCAACATTATATTAATGTTGATACGGTTGATTAAGGTCTAATTAAACCTTTGTACTTAAAAGATCTGCAGGTTTAAATGCATATAGTTTTCCATATTTTCCCATTGTATTTAATATTGCAAATGACTAATAAACATGTTTATCTTTAGAAACAATCTCATTGGAATTTTATATAATATACAAATAATGAACATGGCATTTTTTCACATTTTCCTTTGAGCCCGAGACTACAGCTAACGTTATCTCATTTGCTAGATATTACCCCCGACCGTCCAAGTGGTTGGGCACCATTCCTTTCCCACCCGTCCCATCCCAAATCCTTAGCCTGACCCCTTCCCAGTACTAGTGTCATAATGGCCTGGCGCTTTCTCTTGAGAGTTCACTTCACTTGCTAGATATTTATAGTAATAACTCTCCTTTCCACAACTATATGTTTGCAGGCTAAGAGCTCTCTCCTCACAGCTGTGTTTACAGGCGAGACATAAGATATGTAAAGCTGACTGATCATTTCTAGTTCATATATTCAAAAGGCAAGTTAGGTTAGTCATAATAACGTGGCTGAAGATATCATGACCAAACCTCACAGTAGAAGATGAGGAGACGACGTTTCGGTCACAACTTGATATGGATGACAGTCACAACTTGATTATGGATGACGACCGAAACGTCGTTGTCTCATCTTTTGGTGTGTGGTTTGATCATTTATGTTGCTACTGCTTTCATTCCGCATTTGGTGGACAATCATGATTTATTTGTGTATTGGAAGAAAAGCAGTGTTTTCAACATACTGTTGGTTGGTTGGATGGATGCTATTTTTATCCAAGATCAAGCACTGAGAGCAACATCAGTCATGTGCATTGTTTCACATTCAGGGGGGAGCTTGTATTGTTTACATGATGGGTTTTGCATAATATTTCGTGTTTCACACGCAGTCTTGCATTGTAGTGTTACACCCTGCCATTCATTTGTGTACTTCAATCATGTAGCCCTTTACTCTTCGCATTTCTGAAGATTGTAAATTAAGTTTTCCTTATCTCTTCATAAATGAGGCTTCTGACTCCTGAGATTAACCGTGTCATCCTTCAAGGCACAGGTTTAAGTTAATATATGTCCATTTGAGTGTAATTTGACAAATAATAATGATACATAAGAGCAGCCACTTTCCTGTTTCAGTGTCTCATGGGCACACTTACCATTTCTGAGGAGCTGGAAGAGATTTTTTAATAATAATAGGCATGAATCTTTGCAAGTTGTAACACAATTATATACATGAAATAAATAAATACCTGTATATTTATTACAGAATTACATTGTTCTGCTACATGTAATTACAAAATTACTGTACATTATTCTGATATTGTTAGCAGAACAATGCAATTCTGAAAAGATGCCGGTCTCCATTCTATTAAGTAGCCACGAGTTAATCTTGTGTGGCCATTACGTAGCCTAGCGAGACATGTGCCTCTTCCTGTTTCAGTGACAGGAGGAAGGTCACAGGAACACGTAAAATTTTTATTACATAATTTGTTATTTGTAATAGCTATCTCTCTAACAGTCGCATTATGTATTACAGGGTCGAAATAGAAGTAAGGAAATCAATTCTGGAAGATGGGACAGGATCTTCTAAAGAGAAAAACACAATGTTTGATCTTGATCATTACAGGATAAGAGGGGGGTTAAAAAGACTTCAGGACCAAAGAAGCATTTGTTTGTGAACTCTAACTGGTGGAGGGTACCATTAACGAAGCAGAGATGAAGGACAGTTGGAAAAAAATGGGATTCATGAGATGCAGAAGATGGAACTAACGGCAAAGGGCAAACTAAAGGCAAACATGTCGAATGTTTCCAAGGTACCAGATACTAGTGGAGTATCTAGTAGAACGAGTCCTGCTTGTGATATCTGGATTATTGTCAAGGGGCCTGGATTTTGTAGATTATTAGCTGTAGCCACTTATTTTTCAAAATTTGTACATGGCATAATTAGTAATTAGATTAAAAGCCATCCCATATACAGATTTTTAAGTGATATATATTTGGATACTGAAAAACATTTGCTAGTCTTTTAACTCTTCTAAAAGATCATATACTTTTGAAAGGGCATAATAACATCTTCATTTATAATCTTCCAATTTTGCTTTTATCATCATCCGCAAATTTGAAGATGTGGTTTGAGGTCTTTATATATATATTTGCTTAAACAGTAAATTTTTTACAGACAAGGACATACAAATTGGTTCAGAATACATTTTTGAGGTTGAATATACAGCACTGTATAACAAAACTACTTATTTGGTATTATCTTGTTGATGAAGGATCCTGCTATCATTGCTGACTGCACACTTACCTAAGAAATATTAACATTACACTCTACCTAATCAATTAAAATATGATACATTGCCGAGCATAAAAAATACATTTTACACCAGTTTCTATACTTCATTCTATAGACATTATTGGGCAAATACAGACATATCTGATTACTAAATTAACTTATGGTGTAAAGTGTACTGCACAATAATGTACGAGAAGAAGTTCATGCTTTATGCTATCACCATTCTATTCCTCATATACTGCTCAATTTGTATTATTCTTCAACATTTCAAAATATTGCTCAATTAAGCAAACATTCTTGCCATTTATAGTTTCAATTCGACTGTTTAAAACAAATGTTTGTTTTCACTTTATTTTCATCAAGTCAAAGAAAAACAGAGATAACATTACTCCCACATCCTAAATTTTCATGAGAGCTGATTACCAAACCACACACCAGAAGATGAGACGAGATGATGACGTTTCAGTCCGTCATGGACCATTACCAGTAAAGTAACGAAGTTGAAACGCCGTCGTCTCCTCATCTTCTGGTGTGTGGTTTGGTCATCATATCTTCAGCCACGTTATTGTGACTCATTGTTTTCATTAGATTTGTTTCCTTTCCATCAAAGATACTTCACTGCAAACGAAATTTGTCCCTTTATATATACATTACTACTGTACTAGTTAATGGACTAAAACAACACAGGTAATCAAATACTGTAGTTTCATAATCTCAAAAATTTATTGCAAACAAGTAAAATAATTGAACATTACTAACATCTGAGATCTTATTATGCTAAAACAAATACATACAGAAGTAATAATATAGGTAAAGGTAATCTACTAATAATAGTAAAATAATTTTCAGAATAAAAGAAACACCATGCAATAATACCAGTACTCACAGATAATAAAACCCCAAAAATTTTAAATGAGAAAATATACCAACAGAGATATTCAAGTCAGGATGTCTATGAACATTTATCAAAGTATGGCACTTCACTCCGTTACATAAACTTCAAACATTTAATATTTCGATGGATTTCTCTGGCTTCCTGAGGGAATCACAATATATATTCATAATAAAAGGACAAGAATAGACAAATATTCAACATAAATGTATATACGAAGTATCAAACCCGGGGTTGCGGTGGGTGCATTCAACCCATACAATTTGGTAACTAAAAGTAAGTATAATGCACTAAAACTGGCACTGCCAGTACCATCACTTTGATAAGTGATTCACTTTCTCTGAAAGAAATTTGTGATGTTTGGTTGTTTCTTTTTGGCATCTGCTACTTGGGATTTCTTTGTTGCCTTTGCAGACTTCTTTTGTGGTGAGTGTTTAGTCTTTGGAGAAATGTCTTTTTTAACTTTGGGAGAAGTTTCCATTTTTTCTAGAGGATCCTGTTCTTTCTTAGGCAAAGAAGTCTCCTCATCGCCAGGCTCATCAACATGTATATATTCAAACACCTTGTTTGTCACTGCAAGGGTAATTTAATAACATTTCAGTATGACTTATATATAAACCCATTTCTACTTAATTTTATAATGACTTATTTAACCAAACTAGATTACACTTAAAAGTAAGCTCTCTGATATATAATTAAAAGCAAACTCCCTGATGGACTTTACAGCATGTTCCTGCTCTTAGTGGTAAAACACTACTTATTTGTTATCATTACTATGAAATGTATCGATTACTTCACAACCTATAAATAGCAAGATTTACAAGACGCCACTCACCAAGGAATCCATCTTCACCAATATAAGTCTTGTCTACTTGTATCTTTTTCCGTGCCCGGCCTCTGTTCAGTAGATCTAGTGACTTAGGTTGTGGGGTGGTAGGGATTTCTTCATCCGAGTCGGACTCAACACGAACACAATCTTGTGCTGGTGGACTAGGAGGACAAGCTGGTGCTTCCTCCTCCTCTATTTATGGTCAAAAATTTGATATGTCATTCATTACAAATCATAAATCCTTAATATACAAATGAAAAAACACAATTAACAATTAGAACTGATGAACTTTGAACTGAGATCATATCAAGAGTAGTTATGCCTATATAATTTACAGTCCCCACGGTGAAGTGGTAAGACACTAGCCCTGTGTTTCACGAGCGCTTTGTCCTGGGTTCGTATCCTGGCTGGGGAGGATTTATTTGGCGCCAATCCTTAACTTTAGCCTCTCTTCACCCAGCAGTGAATGGGTACCGGGTTGTTAAACGATTTGGCGGGGTCGTATTACATGAAATATTAGGATTAAGGACCTGCCCGAAAAGCTATGCATGCTAGTGGCTGTACAAGAATGTAAGTATTCTTGTACTGTGTATTTAAATAAATAAATAAATATATATAACCAATTATTTGTTAATTGAAGAATACAAGACATGTATAATAAAATATAAGCAGGACCCCTGTCCCAAAAATCATCCGTCCCCACATTATTTACAAATTCAAGTTTAAAGGAAAAATGTAAGTAAACATTAGAAAAAGTTGGAAGAATATACTCCATCACAAGTGAAGCTACTATTTATATAATTACATAGGGTACATATATTATTACATTTTCAATTTTAATGGAGTTGGGAAGCATCAGTTAAAAAAAAAGGCAACAGTACTGTATACTAAATGAAAGCTATTGATAACAAATTACCCTCATCAATTTATTTGATTATGCACAGTACACTATAGAGCATTGTCGGTAAAACATGAACGGTAAACAAACTCAAATAATCTTAAACTACTGTAATTTGGCAATAGATGACAGTGATGAGCTCCCTTTGTCACAATGTAAACACATTTGCATCTGACCACATTCTGGAAGAATGCTAAACTTGTGATTTACTGAATACGATTTACAAGGACTTGTTAGGTTTCAGTTTTATACTTGTCTATTAACTTCTCTAGTACTGTAACTATTTGCTTTCCTAATATGCTGTCTTTGCTCCCTCAATAAATTGATTCAGCTTCAAGCAAGCTCCTCTCTAGTAAAGACCAAGATATTTATTTTATTTAAAATACAGTGATAGGAAATCCTAGAGTAGAGTACACATGAACGAACAAACTTGAATAAGTTTTACTAAGGCAATAAATTAGTTTGCATTCCAACATAATCTGATATACCTATCATGTTGTACCATTCTCAATCAGAAATGTAAAGAGCAACTTAAGAAATTACCTTCCTCGCTACTAGACTCCGAGTCACTAAGCTGCATGATCCTTTTACGCTTCGTCTTTGGAGCCGGGTCATTCTTCTCCTCCTTTCTCTTGTTTTTTCCCCTCTGTTGGCGTTCTTTTTTAACCTACATGAAAAAGTATGTTATTTTGTATCATATCACATCCTCCTATTTTATCACTATATTGCAATTACTGTATGTAATTTATTCTCAAAACAGTTTGAGGCTGAAAGCTTCTTGCTACTTACTCCATCACACTCGTAATGGCTTAGTGCTTTCTTGTGATAATTACTATACCTTACCTCAAACTAAGGTTTACTTGCATAAGTTTTACTATGTTTCACTGTATTATTACACAATTTTATGTAAATTAAAATATAAAAACCAAAGGCCACAAATCATAAAAGTTCAGTAAAAAATGATTTACAAGTCAGCCATTTTTTGTTTTGGAGAACTAGATAGAATGTATCATTACACATTGAGCCTAAATTAATGTGCCCCTAATTCATGAAGTGAGTCAACAAACAAGAATATCCCATCTATACAAACACATACCTGAATTGTTTGCTGTCTTTTAGCTCTTTTTGATGAAATGTCAATATCCATAGACTCGGGCTGAGATTCTTTTACTGCCTTCTGACATTCTTTCTTAGAGGGTGAGGATACAGCCGACTCTGCGTTGACTGGTGAAGATGTAGCAGAGTCACTCTTTATAGATGAGCACTTGCTAGACTTTGTTTTTGAGTCTGATGTCTTGCATGATGATGATGAATTTGCTGATTCTGAAGTCTGTGAGTTTTCTACAGGCTCTTTTTTGAAGAAAGCTGAAATTCCTCCCTTTGTCTTAGATCCAGCTGGAGATGACCCCTTCTTCGAAATCTAATTATATCATTAACATAAGAATGGGTTTCCAGTATCATGTCTAATATGACTGAAAAATATTAATTGTCTAATACTATACTGTACATGCAAAGTGTGAAAAAGGATAAAATGTGACAACACAAACAACCGTGGCAAACAAAATGCTGGAATTCTGTAATCATTAATATCATTATTGCCCTGTTTTCCACTTACATAAGGAGGAGTTAATAAGAACAGTTCTTTTCTAAGCAGAATCATTCAGTTGTTCCATAATGATATTTCTGTGTCCCTGACAAAATCCTGCACATTCAAGTAGGGTTGACCTACTACATAGAGCTGGAAAATAACAAAACCCCAGGGTACAACTGTGGCTAACAAAACCTTAGGGTACAACTGTGGCTAACAAAACCCCTGGGTACAACTGTGGCTAACAAAACCCCAGGGTACAACCTGGGCATCCCTGATCCAAGCCTGTAAAACTGTACACCCTGAGTGTTCCCATCTGGATTGCAAAGAGATGTTCCTTATCAATAGCATAGACAACAAAATAATAATAGAGACCCTTCCACTGCCCCCCACCTCTTCCTTGAAGTACAGTACCAGGTACCAAAAACTTGCAAGCATAAGTTCTCCCTAATTTGAGGATTATAAAATATATCTACAGCACAATACCTTAAAATTTTAGAAATTTTGCTATAAACCTTTAAGTATCTCACATGATAGTCTTTATTAGCATACTCTGATGTTTACTTATCTTTCTAAACAGGTATTCTTAACTTTCCTTACTCAAATAATACTCATTCCTTAATACTGCCTATTCTGGCTTAGTTCCTCAGACTACTCAATGCTAATTTGTCCTTGTCTCTTCTAATTTAATTAATTTACCTTTTTAATCTATATGCTTGCCTATCTGGTCATGTTTCATCATAATTTGTATGTTCCTCTTCAATTTCATTTTATTTCATCTCATTTCTTATAGCTTTGCCCCTTGATGAGTGAAATTTTTTCATAGATCTCAAATCCTGTGATATGTACCTATTCACATTAAACACAATCATTATCCTATACAGTATTAGACATTTTTCTAGTGGAGGGGTGGTACTGTACAAGTTTTAAATTATTCTGTTTCACTTGGAGGATATTGTGAAAGATTGGATGCCTCACAAAACATAGCTGATAATCTTCAATACTTCCCCACCCCATGAAAATGGGATGCAGAGTAATGGTGATAATTTTTACCTTCTCTAGATGAATCCACCCTCTCTTCTTTCTCAACCTGTTCCTACCTTTTCAGATTTCACTGCTTCGGTCTTTATATCATCCAATTTCTTAGTCTGACGAGCAAACATAGAAGCGATCTGGTTACTCTTTCCTGCTGTTTTGCTGCTACCAATCATGTGCTTGGCTTCTGTCTCACTGCTTGGCTCCTGTTTCACATTGGTTTTCATTTGTGATGGCTTGTATTTGCTCTAAAATAAAGAATTGGCAAAAAGGTTAGGTAAATTTATAATTAAAAAAATGTGTATACTATATACTGTACTTAAAACATATTCATACTATACATACATAGAGTATATTCCTATATTTCCCCATTAAATTTTTAATATTTTTAAAAGTACAGGTCCTTGTTTTGAACTTTAAAAATTGTTCCAACAGATAAATCCTTCTCGATTTTTAAGGTTTCCACTGTAATGAGGTTCTGATCTTTTAGGCTACACATACTCAACTTATAAGTGTTGATTTCTAACAACAATCAAAATACATATCATTTTACATTGCCTTTACCTCTATCTTTGTAGGTTCAGGTGGAGCCTGATATGCATTCTCTTGTTTTATTTTAGCCAGGTCAGCAGACGAGCGAACTTTTACTTCAGGACATTCAATGCTGCTGTATCTGTAGGTGAATTCAAATTCAAATAAGTTTATTGAGGTATAAATACACACAAAGGGTGCCTTTACCTTGTAGGTGAAGACATTAAATTATAGAAAATTATGCTTGCAATGTTAATAGTTATACAGCATGCATTTCACCTCCATCTTTTCTCCATTTGGAAATTCTGTACTAGAAGCAACACTGTAATCCGATTCCAACTTTATGCAAGTACTGTACTGTACTGTACTATACTACCTCCTTCACTTAACCAAAATTTTTTTTTTAAATTATCAGGGGGGTGCCAAGCCATTACAACATTATAGCACTTGGAAGGGGTCAGGATAAGGATTTGGGAGATGGGGGATAGGAATGGTGCCCAACCACTTAAGACCATCGGGGATTGAATGACCTGCATGAAGCGAGACCGTCGCTCTACTGTCCAGTCAAAGTGGTTGGGTACTTATGTATGTATGTAATATTCCACATATACAATATGTGGAATATTCATTTTAGACTTAACTGAAAAGCATCATAAGAAATGAAATTCCTAAGCCAATGATTTTCAGTGCTACCCTTTGCTCCCCGCCATTATTTTGAAAGTTATGAAGACAATCAACAATGCACATACATATATGTGGAATATTCAGTATGGTATAGTTTGAGGCATATTTGTAATATAAACAGCTGAGAGGAAGACAAAAAATGCAACTACAGTAATAGATTGAAAGTGCGATTACAATAACATAGCTAGGCACTGTATACAATTGGGTACAATAAAATAGCATAAAAATCTTCTAAATTAAAACTTGTTTTGAATGTATTTTATACACTGTCTTATAATAAAAGAAGCAAGAACTTACCTGTTGATACTCATGATGTTTTCCTTGACTTGATCATAATTTGCAGTGTAAAGAACACTCATGTCGTGCAGTTTGGTCTTCTGAACACTATATATGTGTACTGATATAACATCCTTCATCTTAGACTTGACTGTTGCCAAGTTATCTTCTCGAACCAATACTATCTATAATAAAGCAAAATGCTGAATATGACAAAAATTCATAACACAAGTAGCACAATGGTCTATGTTCTCAGGTTGTAGCTGAGAGACTCGGGTTTAAACTATAGGCAGGACAGAAATGGTTCTGTCCTAGCAGTAAAATAGGTATTGGGAGTTAGGCAATTATTGTGGGTTGCATCCTGAAGAAATTAGTAGTTGGCCAATGAGCACCTTGATAAGCTTAAGTACAAATAAATAGATGTTAGGCTTCAATCCCACAACTGTAAGATAATGAAGATGGGAAAGAGAGAAAGGAGACCAGAAGGTATTAACACCTTCTTGAATTTGAGGTATTTAGATTAGTAGGTGGTGCATCAAAAGCTAAATATCACTGCCCCATAATCACCGATTGATAAGCATGGGCTTCCTGTACCCAACTACAGGAATTAAAATTATATGAAAAGCGCTAAAGATGCATCATTTATATATTGGAAAATTGCATTTTGTGTGTGAATTACAATAGGCCAACTGTATTTTTATTCACTAAAATAAAGAAACTTGCTCCTGTATTAGTGGGCATATACTACTGAATTATAAACTAAGTATTCTAGGATTTTTTATTTATATTTTTGAAGGCAATGCAAGTTATTATGGAACAGTCTCACGCTGTGTCCACCTGAACGATATCCCGCGAGGTAAAACAGGCCCCAGCATGTCAACTGGGGATCACACACACATTTTTTTATACTTTACTCATTTGTAGCAATGTTTATTATAATTTATTATTATGTAATACCGGTAATGAAATATTCAACGGTAAATATTCCCAAATTATTAAAAAAATATACGGCTTAAAAATTTCAAATTATTTAAATGATGAAATTAAAACAAAATATTTAAATACAGATTTGATTGTGACATTTGTTTTATAGATTTCACTTTTAATTTATACAGTACCACAGGTTTTCCAAAAATTAAATGTATGTTTTATTTTACTTGCAAGCAAAAATTTTGTTTGGCCATGTCACAAGATTAGCAACTTTTCTAGGCAAGAGTCTATCACCTATTCAAAACTAAACATGGTTTCAAAGTCGTCTGGTGTAATACACTAAGAAACACAATATATAATGCTCTACCAAATCTAGTAAGACCCAAGTAAAATTAATAATATTAATCTAAGCTGAAGGAAAACCTGTGATGCCCTGACTTCCACTTTACCTTTCAGAAATCTTCCCTGACAGAATGATGGATACACATACTAATAATATAATCCCAAAACAAATTTCTACTTGTTGATCCAAAGTAATGTGAAGTTTAAACCAGGAATATGAATAGTAGGCATCCATCAGTCTCAGGAGACTATGGAGTTGCGCTCTGGTTGTCGGTCTGGAATGGCCTCACCAGGGCGCAAAGCCAGGGTAGGTTGATTCATGGGAGAAGCTGTTACCCAGGCAGCAGGTCCCTTAAAATACTACAGAGTAGTATTTTAAGTGTTTCAAGGGTTTGGTTTATATTTACTATTTAATTATTTCAAAGGTCATATACTGTATCTAGTATCACTGGCATTCACTTGGCAACTACCAGACACAATATCTATGTTTAGGTGACAAACATTAGAGCTTGTGATTGCCCCTTTCTACCATATTTTCTGATGATATTTCATATTTATTACTCAATGAGAGATTAATAACCCAATTATTCTTCAAGTATTACCCATAAATATTAATCCTTAAAATAATCACTCACCTTATGTACATCGGGATGGTCTTCCTCCCCAGCCACAACACCAGACACAAAATATGTTACGCTCAGGTCATCACCTTTGTCTGAGTCACGCTGACTTGTGACGAAGTGATACAGCATCCTGGACATACACAATAAGGTTATCAATATATATTTTTAAACTTTAACTCAACAACATGAAGCAGTATAATAAAGCAAACATGGCAGAGCCCTATTAATACAGTATTAAATCCAAGCAAACTTTAAAAAAACTGTAATCTTTGAAAATTGTACTATGCATCAATACTGTAATGGCTAGCCTTAATAATTAATGTCTGTATAAAGAGAGGGGGGGGATATGGTAATGCTAAATATTTTTTAAACAATCTTTAGTTGTGTTCAAAGGGGTTTAATCAAATTTAATTAAATGCTTTATTGTTTAACAAGACTTAACACATTAAATGAAAACTAAAATTAAAAAACCAAGTCACAAGAATGCAACCAGTCCCACAAAAATTATGGTATCAATGGTTACTATGGATGGTAGTACAGTATATAATATGGACTCTTGCACTAAACAAAAAAAAGGTTAGGTTAAAGGTTTTAGATTAAAACGGGTTAGATTTATGGTAATTCTTTCACTTTTTGTTATGCCTTTTAGAATTCCAGTACAGTAGTACAGTATGTATTATAAAATGTAAATTTTATGGGGGTACAAGAGTCCAAATGTTGTACATTCTCATCGATAGTAGCTAAAAATAAAAACATGTAGCACGCCAACTTACTGCTTGGCCACATTCGTGTGGACCCCCAAGGTGAGGCTCAGCCACTTATACGTCACCTGCCAAAATACACAACATTAAAATCCTAATTAATTAATTTTAAAACCTAATTTAAAAAAAAAAAGTTGATTGATAGACAGTTGAGAGGCGGGCCAAAAGAGCCAGAGCTCTACCCCCACAAGCACAACTAGGTGAATACAGTAACTACAGTACCACTTTTAATAATATTGTAAATATAAATAAGATTTAAAATTAGGCTATACAAAAATAAATACATTTTAAGTAAGTAAAAATAAATAAAATAAGTATACTAAACTCATACATTCCCTCTTACATAAATAAATTGGAAAAGGTGCAAGAACATTCAACTAAATGGCTCCTGAAACTGAAAAAACAGCTATGAAGAGAGGTTACAGGTATTAAATATGCAAAGTTAGAGACAGAAGAAAATGATGATATGATCATTACATTCAAAACAGGAATAAAAAAAAAATTAATTATGAATAATTTTTCAAAGCCGCAACTTAAAGAACATTAGGACAGGTTAAAACCAAGGGAAAAAAACTGCTGAAAAAATATTAGAAACATTAAGCCATCAGATATAATCCAATATACAATACACACAAATATAAAAGTGCTGCATGTATTTATATTATTGTTAGAATACTCCTGTATTTCATTCACAATACTGTATACAATACCTAGTACACCAATATGTAAACCTAGAGATATACATGCTGATGGGGCAGACAATATTTTGGATACAAGCCAGAGGTTTTTATTGTTGTTAATTTAGGGATGATGATGGCACAAGTGCTGGATATGCCCCAGTGTTTCCATGATGGGAAAAGGAGGAGGCCACCAAGATCCCCCAACCCCTGACTTTTTTCAGTCAAGCCAGTATCAGGTGCCGTCTCCCAGCCTGAAGTCCCAACCAGGAACAGAAAAATATATCAACTTCCATGTGGCCTAAGGCGATAAGTGTGCCAGGCATTGTGTCCCTCTGAGCTACTGAAGGTGAATGCCTGACTTGCATACTGTATCAAGTCAAAATCTCATCATGTCCAGCAGTTGTCAGATTGAGCAGATGGCAAGACATCTGTTTGGTAAGGTAAGGTAATTATCAGGAGAAAAGGTTGAACCCGGTGTTCAGTACAAGCTTTGGAGGTACTGTGCTACCATACAGATAACTGGATACAGGCTCATAAGGCAATATGCTATTTGGTTCATGAGGTGAAGGTAATTGTATACTATTGCAAAGGACATTGCATTCTTCAGAATATAACAATGTAATGAAAGTTGAGATAATCAGGTGAAATTGCAAGCCAGTGTGAATACATGGCACTGGAAGGGATATAGGGACAAAAAGCTAGAGTATGAGGATGGGGTGAAGAAACGGTGCCCAACAACTTGGGCCATTGAGAATCGAACACCAACCCTGTAAGATACAAGGTTGTCACTGTACTGAGCAGTCCAAGTGAAAGTATTGCAAACATTCATTCAGCCAGAAAACTACATAAAAGCAAGTCTGTTAGTACAGGCTGTTAGTAGGCTGCTATCTCTGATGACAAATCTCTATTAACTTAAATATGGTCCCGTAGTAGTGGTCTATGCTCTCGACTACAATTGGGGAACCTGGGTTCGAAATGGGCTGTGATGGAAATGGTTGAGTATGTTTCCTTTCACCTGATGCTTCTGTTCACCTAACACATAGGTCCCCGGGAGTTAGACACCTGTTGTGGGGCTGCATCCTGCAGTAGGTCAGTAGTTCGACCTAGGAGAGTCTTCGATACAATCCTAACTACAGACATCCTGTCCCCGACAACGGGAATTTTCATTTTTCCACTCTACGCCATGAATGACAGATCAGCATCAATCCGGATGTGTTTAGACGTTCCCCAAATAAATCGCATATTAATTGCAACTATAAACATACAACCGACTTCAGCGGCTACGAACTTACAATTTTCCCTTCATCATTGATAAATTCATCCAGGTTTTCTAAATACATGGAGTCCATAGTTGTATCGGCGACCATCGTCACGGATTTCGCGGGAACTTCTATTTTGTTATGGTTGTGACGTCAGAAACCGACCGTGCCTCTCAGACCATCGTACAAATACACAATGTTGTTGTCTTATTATCAATCACACCCAATCAAAAGCTTTATTTATAAATTGTTGTAAATTTTGAATTGGAAAAGTTTACACAATCACAGTATATCAGAATAAAGTACAATTATGCGGCTGAAAATTTGATACCCAACCCACACATCTGAAAATGAAGGGAGTGACAACGTTTCGGTCCATCCATGACCATTATCAAGTAGCAAGGAAGGTCAAAATGGTCAGAATATGAGGTGAAAGCGAGAAAGTAAGAATAAACCATAAGAATATAGGTATAAAGAAAACTACAGTAGGCCTCGTGGTGAAGAGAAGGAGGTAAAATAGAGACAAAAGAGATAGAAAATTGTTAGTATCTCGTATAGCTAGTTCCTGGCACTCATGCTCCTCTTCATATAGTCTATCTATGGTAGCTGCGTAAATGCAGATGTGCCTAAATGTGTTAATAAATAAATAAGAGAATAAGAGTTAGAGGGATTCAAACTCAGCCAGATCACGTTTGTTAAGATCAAATGTTTAAATGAAATCAAATGTTTATTTAGGTAAGGTACATACATACAAGAGATTTTACAAAGAGTGATGGATTTATAGATAGGACTAGTACATACTATGCCTAAAGACACTATTACGCAAAGCGTTTCGGGCATTAAAGATGGTAGGAGCATTTTAAATACGTACTGAGAGAGGCAAGAGTCGACAGCAACACAGGACTAAAATAATAGTGTGCCCAACCGATTCTATCTAGCCTGGGATTCGAACCTGGAATTCTCGTTTGTGGGTCGAGAACGAACCCAACTGTACTAGTGGGACTAAGGCTGATATTGAGCAAGGAGTGAGAGTGCATGGAGAGCGGGTGCACACAGGTTGTTGCACGCCACGCACCACCACCTATAACACAAGTTACAGTGTTGAAACACTCACTTCCCTACACTGTGCACTGCACGCCTCCCCACCACCTATACATTGGCATATAATTGATTGATTGATGAAGATTAAGTCACCCAAAAGGTGGCACGGGCATGAATAGCCCGTAAGTGGTGGCCCTTTTGAGCCATTACCAGTATCAAGAGCTGATACTGGAGATCTGTGGAGGTGCGACTGCACCCTGCGTGACGGGAGATGTCTCCCGTGTTGGCATATAATGTTGCGTCAGTATAAAAGGCAATACAGGAGCATGACGGCTGAGTGGACAGCGCTCGGGTTTCGTAGTCCTAGGGTCTGGGGATTGCTTATACTGTATTTAATTTAAATACCTTAACAGTACTGGTTACATATATACTGGTTAAATATAATATTTTTTTATTTATACGGAGGACAAAAGCCATACTTATTGCTTATACTGTATTTAATTTAATTGCTTATAGGGGATTGCTTATACTGTATTTAATTTAAATACCTTAACAGTACTGGTTACATATATACTGGTTAAATATAATATTTTTTTATTTATACGGAGGACAAAAGCCAGTGATAATATTAGATGGTTGGTGTGTGTATCTGGTGTTCTCTTGTCTTCATAAGATCCCTAAATTAAGTCAAAAATGGTTTTTGAAAACTTTAGGTAATTATCGTACTCCCTCCTCAATGATATTTAGCGCAAGCACAAATTAACTTACCTAAAATAACATTAACATATTATCCTTCATTGAAGGATGCCTTAGCATATAATTGCATATAGGCTGCTACATGTATATACAATGCTGTATGCCTAAGTTTAACATAAAAACGTCATGTACAATCAGCAATTGCATTTATATTATCTTAAATAAGGCAATAACAGAAACTATGCATATGTTCGAGAGTTCATAAAAGATCATAATTTATATAATTATTAAATATGCGTTTTGCCAGGAAAAACCCTGGAGATGGTGTTGGGTGAGGTAAAGTCAGGTAATGGTGCACGTGTAATATAGGAGCGGAGGTCTACGTCACGACTTTCTTCCTGCTCCCCTAGTCAGTCCTGCGCCAGCCGTCGAGGAGGGAGGCTCCACTCCACGTCTGCGGCTCAAATGGCTCCAAACGCTTCCAAAACTGGGAAATCCTCCCCTAAGGCTTCCCAGGGGGAGAATACGGTCGATAAAGTGTTCCTCAAGTACAGGTAACGGGAGGTGAAGTATTTAAGGTGTTCATATGTTACCTGGTCTGCCTCTCAACCTGTCAGAGAAATCTTGAACCATTGACCTCAAAAACTGCCGATCTCTATTTTGTTGAGCGATTTGCATGGGCGGCTTGTTAGTTAGAGCCTGGCAGGTTGTCCTCGTTAAGTGGTAAAGATTAAAGGCAAGTGGTTAGAGGGTTGTTAGTGGTGTAGGGGCGCCGGTAGTTAGTGTGGGTGTGGTTAAGGTGGCGCCAGTAGTGACGGCTGGCCATACTTCAGGGCACCTTTTTAATGTTTTCTGTACCTTTCATATATGTATATTTGTTTGAAAAGGAACAACTTTGAGCAGGAAGACCCATGGAGTTGTGTGTGTAGGTTATGCTCGTCTAAGTATGGCAGGTGAAGATGTTGGCATTACTGGGGTCCTTTATTACTTGATCTCATTACTAGTTATGAATAATAAAGCACACCAAATCTCGCCTTCATCTAAAGTACACATACTTTAGTGTACCGTGAGAGGTGTACTACAGTGAGCCACGGTGCAGCGTGTGGTTGTAATGACTGTGGTACTCGTGCTCTCGCTGGCACTGTACCTTACTCCACCCCCTCGGTGGCTGAAGTCTCACATAACTTGTCCTCTGTTCACTTGCATGTGTGGTCGTGTGCAGAGCTGTAAATGTAGAGGGCCAATAATGCCTCGCACAGATGTGGTTGTGGTCGGGTGATGTGCGGTGCTTGCCCACACCTGATGCCTTTCCAGTATATAGTTAACTTGGTCTAATAGCTTTCACAGTATTAATTTTATTTAATGGCATTTCAGATGGTCATTGAGCAAGGGCAAAGGACTGGACTTGACAACTTTTTCATTTTTGCTGTTAATATGAAATTTAAATCAAATTTAAATGTCATTTGCTTTGACAGAAACTAGGCATTCAAATGAATTAGTATTTCATGGACCAATCTACTGATGCCAGGCAATTGCTCTTCTCTGAGCAGGAGAGAACTAGGTCAGGTGTCTTGACCTATGCTGGAAGCAGGAAATATAGTTATTGTGAGGATGAACCATTCATGCAAACTGCATGTAGCATAAAGGAAGCAAAATATATGGGCTTTTGAACTGCCCTTTTAGGCTTCCACAATTATACTAATCAAAATATTTGCCCAGTGTACTTTTCTCTTAAAATAATAAAATATAAGGCAATTTCTCATTGAAGAACCCCCTCACGATATATAAAGATTGCTTTTATAAAAAAAAAAAGCACATGTGCCAAAATTACCCAAATGCATGGCTCTGCATTTGAATGTTATTTCTACTGTATCTCTTCCAAACCTACTTTTTCCTTTTACCATTAAATGTCAGTCAAGTAATGTACATCCTGTCACATCTCCAGCATCAAACATGGCTTCACATTGGTGCTAGTATTCAGTCCAGACAAGCAAAATGTAGTGCCATTATGGCTATAATAAATATATAACCTCTTTGCATTACTCAATGTAACATGATGTTAAGACCTTCAATGTGATGTTTGCTTTCAGACGCTGTGATTCTCCACAAACTTGGTGGATTGTGTTTGGTGTGGTGTGCTTGCTAGCTGCTGCCACAAGATTCTATAATGTGGGAGAACCAAAACATGTTGTGTAAGTACACTACTGAATCTTCGCATTGGAGAGTACAGTACTTTATGTATGTGTAATTTATTTTGCTGCACATCATTGCAGGCAATTTTTCAAAGTACTGTCTTGGGCAAAATTATTCATTTATTGTATTTTAAACTTTTTGAATATTTTGTTTCATATGCAGTTTTGGCATTTCCCTGTAGGGATACTTAAGTTTACACTATTCTTTGTTTGTAAGCTTGTCTGATGTCTGGAATTTTTTTATATTAGCTTGAAGCTTTTTAAAGACTATTACTGCAGACAAAGCTCATATAGTAAGAGCTTTCAGCTGTAAAATGATAACTTAGTTTTGCAATAAAGTGTAGGAAATTGTAATTTTTTTTCTCTCAAAAGAACTGTTAGACTAAAGTTTTAAATTTGGGCAGTCTCTCTTGGAGCTCTGTAATATGCAGCAGCATTTAAGTTTTCATTGTGCAACAGATTTTCCGATTCATCATAATTTTTGTTCCTCTGATAGTTCTTACAATTGTCTTTTAATGATTGCTTCAAAACTGTTATGGATTCTACACTCTAACATTAATTTTCTGCATTTTGATAGTTTTAAATTCGCAATATTTTGTACATAATTGGCAGTCGTTCATTCCACACTACCCTTGTACAGTACTCTGTCCAGTTATATGCCTACATATCCTTTCCAAACCATCTTAACCCATCACACTTGATATCCCACACACTTGCCCAAAGATGCCTCTCTTGATTGGGTACAAGGAAGTTTGTTACATTAATTTTATGGTGATAAACACTGCTTTTTGTTAAAATGTTAACAAAACTGTCCTAGTGGACAGTTGGAAAGGTTTGCTTCAATTGCTGGGGAATGGGGATAAGCATGCGTTGCTAGGAGGAAAGTTGGGGGTGCGCTTTGTTGGTTCGAAATGGTCACTGGAGATGTAGGCAGGGTGACACTGCACATCCTCACTTTCACATTGCTGGCACGCAATGTTCAACCCTGTTACTGTGAACCATCCCGTTTTACTGACGTTAATGAAGGGAGTTCATAGTGTTCATTTTATTTGTTCATATGTTGGGCTGTATTATATTTAAAACCGATCTTACTGTTAATTAAAATCGGTTAGATTTTGAATTGTACAAGTAATGAATGGTGGTTTTCTAGAAATAATTGCTGTTAATATTGCATACAGTACAATAATTGATAGTTGTGCTGAGATAACCTTCCTGGAATGAAATTTTTGATACAGTTGGATAAACATTAAAATTTTGTAGTACACATGATCCTATAACTATCATGTTGCAACCAGGAGAGATGAGGCCATCACGACTAATCTTATTTCCATCAATATGCTAATCATATTGTTCAAAGTCGTGGGTCAAAATATTCCCAAATATATTGGCTAGAGCGGGCATGTCAAACTGAGGGTACCCAGAGGGCCATATGGGTCACATTTTGTTAAGAGGGCCACCCAGACAACTAATTTATGAAAAAATATCCTGCCATAATTTTTATTATTATACAGTAACCAAATTACAGTACCCATTGTGTGGCCCGCATGTGTGCTTGCAAAAGGCTGCATGTTTGACATGCCTGTTGTAAAGAATGGACACAAAAAAAGTAATTAAAATAGCTTGTGCTCTTCTCTGCACATTCCCAAATATAAACATAAGGTGCTTAACAGGTCCACCTTGGCAATGCATAAAAATGTGTACAATTTCATCCCGATTATTTGTTGGGTTGTAACTTTAAATTTTGACAAATATTTTGCAAATGAATACTAGTACAATACAGAAGTGTTCTAGAAAAGATGCCTCCCACACACATTTATAATAGAATATGGAAAACCGATGAATATAAAGTTTTCTGAATAGCCATTAGAAAAGTATTTCAGTGTCGGCAGAATGTTTAAGAGTTATTTGTCATCGGAATGCGGAAGGGTTAACACTAACATTCTGACCCGTTAGCATTTAACTGAGCATAAATGTTCAGAACATCTCTGGGTGCCACTCGGGCCAAACCTAAAATGTGTTCACTGTATCCGTAATGTTTTCTTCAGTTCTTAATTCAGTACTATAAATTTGGTGTTGGTGTTTGTGAGTAAAGTTACTAAATAAAATGTGAATTGAAATTGTGCTGAATATACAAATTTGTATGAACATTGACATTCTTCATACTGTAATTCTCTGCCTTTCTCACTTACACTATTTTTCAACATAAATTAACAATGTAGAGAAATATGCATACATTATCAGTCTGTTACTTAAACAAACAAAAAAATAACTTTCGTACTTTCCTAGGCAATTTGTGAATAGTAAAAATTCTCAAAAGCACGGTAATTACTGTCATCTTGAGTAAAAGATAGCATTGAAAAAGTGAAGATAGTTGGCCAAGGTGATCTCTGGATAGTATCCCTGATACTTTGGTTGGCCCCCCTGATAAGCTATACCCACTCTAGAGTTTAACCACCCCCTCCCACTGAAAACATAACAATGATAATCATTTAATGAAAAATGGGATTTTGGGGGGATTTAGAGATCAGTGACGCCTTTTATCATTGGAAACGTTTACTCTTGGTAATATATATGGCATTTGAATCATTGGAACACTTAAGTGTGGTGTGGAATAGCCTACCCACTGAAGCCGTAAATCCCAAAACTGTCCCTTGTGTAATTTTAAGTTTGTGACTTTGCCTTCTCCAATAATTTAGTGGTGGATAATTTTCAAAATACATACACCACACTATCAAGCAAGTGATATATATACATGTATTGTAACTTTTATTTTTCAGTTGGGATGAGACGCATTTTGGCAAATTTGGTAGTTGGTACATAAATCGAACCTTCTTTTTTGATGTACATCCTCCACTGGGAAAGGTAGGCTCTTTCAGTAATACTGTTTGCATGTGTGCTTTAGTAAGCTTTTGTGCTTTATTTATGGTAAGCTTTCACATTGTTGGATGAAAATTTTCACTTTGGATTTAGTTTTAAAATACAGTAATACAGTAATAATGTACAATATAAATGGTAATGTAAAAAATATATTGGCTCTGAGCTTTTTTCTTTAATTATTTAAATTTAAAACTGATGTATGTAACACTAGTACTGTACTGGTTTCCGAGTAGAATGTTTCCCACTTCTATTACGAGATTAAATATATCCTTAGCACTAATAGCTGAACAAAATTGCATAGTAATTTATTGAATGTTATGAGTAATCATATTTATTTTAAAGGACGAGTGTGCTTTAGTATTACCTGGATTGTACCTGGATGGATGGATTAATTTTTAGACCTTTGAGTATCTCTTTAAGTGTAATGTCATATTATCTTCAGACCTTAGATCTGCTTATAAATCTCGACTATCAAGAAATGACTTCTGGCTGCAATATAAGTTGCAAATAAGATGAATCTATTATTAGTTGTTAATTAGGAATTTGTAATTTATTGCAATTAAACATTTATTTAAAACATTACATTTGAGACAATTTTTGATTGTTTCTAGCACCCATATTTAGTTTATATTTTCCTGTCCTTGCAAGTAAACTTGAGTAAACGGTAACTTTATCTAATTTCAGTACCTGATGTCACTATCAGAATTTAATTATACAATTTTATATTGCATTGCATTCAGTAGCTTTTTAATGGAGTTTTTCTTGAGTGTTTGCAAAGCTGAAACTTAATTATAATAAATGGGACATTTTAATACGCGGCTACTTTTCTTGTCATTTCAAGGCCATTGAGATGTGGACCTCGTAATTGTAATTACGAGGTCCACGATTATAAAATTGGTAAATTAGTTTATTCTAACATTGGCATAAATGGGTACCATGCACCATCTGACCAGTTTTGCAGCCCAGAGTTTGAAGTTAATAGATGGATCTCTCTTTTTCCAACAGATGCTGATTGGAGCCTTTGGTTATTTGACTGGATATGATGGCATGTTTCCCTTTGTTAAGCCTGGGGACTCCTATGAAGGCGTCAATTATTTAGGCATGAGAGTGGTGAGTAACTCTTAAGGTGTTAATATAAATTACAAAAAAAAAGTATTGTGTACTGTATATATAAAAGTGCGAGGCAATATTGTATATTTTTGTATGTTGTATTGACCATTTTAGTTAAAGTACAATACCAATTGTAATTTTATCCAAAAGCATTGCAGTGATGGTGCTTCAATCATTAACAAAGTATCCATTTTCAAAGTTTCCTTCTCCAATAGATTATCCCTTTATCCCTTCAAATGTGAGGTAGTGGTTGTTAGCTGAAGTGTTCTTGGAAAATGTGAGCTTGACTGTTTGGCATTCGATAGCATCTCTTATCTTTTGTAATGGACTGAATTATGTATTGCAGTGTTGTACAGCAATGGGAGCCTGCTTGGTGCCATTTGCTTTTGTAATTGTTTGGGAGATGACCTTCTCATTGCCTGCTGCAACATTAGCATCCTCGCTAATTTTGTTTGGTATGTGCTAATTTCTTTTTCTTTTGTACAAAAGTTGTTTAATTTGTAAATTTAGAAAAATGTTAATTTAGTACTTTATCATGAAAAATAAAGCATGCTATTCTTTATTTTGAAGCTTCATTAATCTTTTTGTTTGAAATTTTACAGATGTTGGTTTGCTGACATTGACGCAATATATTCTCTTGGACCCAATTCTACTCTTCTTTATCATGGGGTCTGTTGTGGGCATCGTGAAGTTCCATTCCCAGAGAGACAGGTGAGTACACCATTCATAGAACTATGATGAATTACTTTTAAATATTGTCAAACACAAGTAAACATTATGGTGTGTTTTGCTTAAGTTCTGATGGTTGTGCTGCAAGATTGAGCCTTTAGCATCTTGTCAAATCTTGGACTATAAATACCAATCATTAACTTGAAAAAATAAATTGTAGTCAGTTTGAAAATATAATGGTAGTAAGATGTCGCATAGTGTGTTGCTGGATCAACTAATTAAAGGTTATGGAAAAAAAAAAATCCTCAATCGAGACGCATTATAAATGGTGTAATCTGTATTTAAAGTTAGAGGTTTTAGTTTTCCCCTTAATAGAAATGGTAAAACATGCATTTTGAAATGAACTCCCTATTTTAATAAGATAGAAAAGTGGATATGGAAACTTTTAAAATTTAGTTTGTATTTCTCGTGCAAGAGAATAGCTTTCAATTATATTCCAGGCTGGTGTCCTTGTTGTAATGGTCTTTTGACTTTATCATATACTTGACAGATGCCATTTAAATTCAGCTGATTGAGCAAAACTAGATCATACAGCTTATTTCAGGTTTCTCTAATGGAATGACATTTGTTTTGCAAGTGTTTTTGAAATTATTGTATGTATTCTTTAAGCACAGGTCTGTGTTGCAATCCTTGGGATGAAACGGCCTTCTACTTTGCCGAATCTCAAAGTAGATTTATATACAGTATCATATGTTGGTAAGTTTTCATGTATGGTATGTCTCCTTTTCCTTTACTTGTGATTTTTAAAGGAAGTAATTTGTGATCCACAGGCCATTCAGCTTCTCTTGGTGGGCGTGGTTATGCTTCACTGGATTAATGTTATCAGGATCGGTATCAACAAAGTTTGTTGGTCTCTTTGTTGTAATCTACGTAGGTTTGCACACAATAAAAAATCTTTGGGACATATATGGCGATCTTAATAATTCACTGGTAAGTTAAAAAAAATGTATTATGTAATGTTTACTTTAAATATCATAATTTTAAACGGTGCTCTAAGGATTTCATAAAGTTGTTAAATGATTTTTCTCTGCAGTGTATTTTGGAATAGCATGTGTAGGAATGTTACTTGGGAGGTTGTAGATGACATAATATGGCACATGGCTATATCTTTCAGGGTTGGAAGTGGCTAGTATTATTTTTATTAGTTATTATTTATAATGTATTTTATTTTATTATATATTATATATTTTTATTAATTAATAATTACAATAATTATTAGTAGTATTAATAATAAATATTATAATTATAATATACTTATCATAATTATTATTGATAATTATTAGTATTATTTATTAATATTAATCTTAATTATTCTTAATAATTATTAATATTAATAATTTTATTATTTTTCTTGATAATTATTTATTATTCTTGATAATTATTCTTAATAATTGTTGATATTCGAGTGGATTGTATTGAAATTTAATATTACAGATCTACGTGGCGAAGCACTTCTTAGCTCGTGCTTTGGGTCTCATTGTCCTGCCAGTGTTTCTCTATTTTGTTTACTTCTTCATTCACCTGACTGTATTATGCAGAAGGTATATTATAATATCCAAGTTTTAGACTGATAATATAGGAATATACTGTAATAAGGATTTTGCAAGAGGTATATTAAATGTAAAGAAAAAAAACTTGTATTTTTAAGTTAAGGTTTTATCTTTTGTCTAACATTTTCAGTGGCAATGGTGATGGTTTCTACAGCTCTGCATTCCAGTCACAGCTGGAGGGAAACTCGCTCTATAATGCAAGCATGCCTCTTGGTGAGTTGTCATTTATAGATAGTATTAAAGTAACAACACGAGCTACTGCTGGGCAAGTTAGTGCCTTGGTTGGTTATCATATTAAAGATTTATCAATGTGGTATTTCCCCAGTTAAGGGAGATGAGGCAACTCTATTGCCTGTGAATGTGGCACAGTCTTGTATAGTACACTAATATAAACTAAAGTTTAATTCATTTTAATTCGGCACAGAACTCGCATATGGAGCAGAGGTGTCGCTGAAGAATACCCGAACAGGTGGTGGGTATCTGCATTCTCACATCCATTTGTATCCTGAAGGCGCTGGAGCTCGGCAGCAGCAGATAACAACATATTCTCACAAAGATTTCAACAACAAATGGTAAATGCTTGGAATTTTGGATACCCCTTATGCTAAGCTGTAAATTGCTTCTAGGTATGTTTATTTCAGAGGCTTTGGGGTCGTGCTTTTCAAGGAGCATCTGGAACATTTGTTCACAATTTTGTTTGTTGTTGTTGGTAATGATTGTTGATGGTGGTTGTTATTGAAGGTTGGTCATTGATGGTGGTGTTTTTTTTTTTTTTTTGACAAAAATCTTGGTGGGTTGTTTAGTGTCGTGTATACAAGCAGCTTGAAGTTAGAATAAGTTTGTATTTTGGTTAACCACTGCACTGCACACCTGGTTTCGGCAAAAACATTTTAGTGCAATTGTTACACATTTTTGTCTTTATAAATGTTCAGGTAAAGTTAAATGTCAATGTTTCCAAACTCGACTATTTCCATTTAAAGATAAATTAAAGCATTAAACCGCATTAAAATATAGCCTAATTGAAAAAAAAAAAGCACAACTTTCAGAGCGCCTAAGGGTGTCTTGCGCAGTGCAGTGGTTAATTATGGATATATCATCGTGGTTTTTGTTGCAGGCTTGTGAAGAAATGGAATGAAGAGCCTGGCGATTGGGAAGATGATGACCCTGTAGAGCTAGTTAAGAATGGAGATCTTATTCGCCTTGAGCATGTCCCCACTGGTAGAAATCTTCATTCACATCGTGAGCAGGCCCCTGTTACAAAGCGTCACCATCAGGTTACTGGATATGGCGAAGTGAGTTAAACATTGCTCTTGTGTGTTGTCTTGAGAGACCCTAGATACCCTTATTTTGGGGTTTTCTTGTGCACCATCCCTGAGGTGAATCAGACAAGTAGATTCATGAAGCACCTTGCATAATTTAAATTTAATTTGTAATGCTATTTTCTTTGAATTATTTTTGTGTAAGTGGCAAATGTTTACTAGGGTAAAAAGTTTGTAGTAATGTTATTGCAATAACACTGAAACTGGATACTTACTTGCTTTGTGATAAGCCAGTGGAAGAATAAATCGACAAGGGTCGTGATGAGGGTTCAAACCCCGGGATGTTCCCAGAAGCTGCCTTAGTCGACTAGGCCATGTCATGGAAAAGAATTGCAACCAGGCATTCCACTGAATTCACACGGATCCTGCAGCCTCTCGGACACAAACTAGGGTTTTACACAATTCCCCCATGCACTTGGGGCCCTTGTGGATTTGTTCATATGATGCAGAAATCATGCATGTGATTTCTGTATGTATTGAAGTGAGGGCGAAGAGGTAGAACAGCCCAGGTGCATGGGGAAATTGTGTAAAACCCTGGTTTGTGTCTTGGAGAGGCTGCAAGATCCGTGTGAGAGCAGTAGCAGTAGCACTCTCGGTTATAATTCTTTTAATGTCATGGCATAGTCGACTTAGGCGCATCTGGGATCATCCTGGGTGAAGTTCGAACCCCTCATCGCGGCACTTGTGCATTTATTCATTTGATGCATCACGCTATTGTGATTTTGTGTATCTTGTAATGTTTTAAAAATACTGTAATGGCAGATGTTCAATTTTGAAGCCATTTTTCTTTCAGAATGGTGTAGGAGATGTGAACGACGTATGGCGTGTGGAAGTGGTGAAGGGTGAAGAGGAGGAAGTGGTGAAAACAGTAGTTCACAAGATTAGATTGGTTCATTACCTGGTTGGCTGTGCCCTTATGTCACATAACAAACAGTTGCCTAAATGGTAAAGCATATACTGAATTTTGGTCATTACATATTGCCAAAATATAAAGATATTGGAAATAATAATTCAAAATTGGCTTCCATATTTTGGAGGTGCATAATAAATTAACAATCAAAATAATTTATTAATGAACTATACTGTAAAAAAAATTTATTTACATTTTATTAATACCTGATGTACTCTTTGAACCCAGGGGCTTTGAGCAGATGGAAGTGACATGTAACCCAAATGTGCACGATTCTAACAACCTGTGGAATATTGAAGAAAATGTGTTCCCAAAATGTAAGTGTACTTGTACATAAATGAATGTCCCATTAGTGACTGCCAGTTGTAGCTGATGACTTGAGCAATTACTGAGTAACTTTAAAGTGTAGGTATCCACCACGATGTGGAGATTACCTTTGTGCACCTTGGCATTTCTTTGCAGTTCTTGTCTTAATTTGTTTCAAAACTTTGACATATTAAAAGTATATATTCCTCTCTGAAGTGCTTGTGAAACAGGATGTGCAATATTCAGTACTTTGCAGAATGAGGTGAAGTAAAGCATTTACAGGAAAAAGGTTTGGTTTAGCAAACTTGAAGCCAATGGTATTATGAGGTGTAAGATTGGTATAATTTTTTTTTAAATCATAGTTTACCTGGTTGCACATTGTTTACTGCCTATCTGATGCATTCAAAGGGGGGAATTTTTGTGACCCACCCCAAACGTTTCTCACTAATGACAAAATATTAGTTTGCTATTTTCAAAACTATTTGTATGAGATGGATATCAAAAGGTATGTAAATAAATGTGCACAAGTACTGTATGAACTAAAACTATTAAATAAGGTGTTAGGTGCCAGGTGCTGTCGAGAAGGGGAACCAATGTTGGACGTGCCACGTTTGCCAAACATTTATGTAAATTTCTACATCGTATAGTTATGTCTTCATTTTTTTTTCTTTAAACTTAAATGTTTGCAAGCTTCATATAGCTGTAGGAAGAATGGATAAAAAGGCTTAAATTGTAGTCAATAATGTGTGAAGGTGTGTTGTAATTAGAGCGGAGCCCTATGCTCTAGTTCTTGGACCGATTTCCTATTAATAATGTCTGCCTCATTGTATTGACATGAAACTATTTTTAAAGTAATTAAGCTTGGTTATTGAATTTGTGTGCATGTTATATCTTGAGCCTCATTATATAGACCTAAAACAAATTGGCACTGGAAAATGATCATGAAACTGGTTCCTGTTGCTCTTAATAAGCAATGTACCCAACCACTTGGGGTGGACGGTAGAGCGACAGTCTTGCTTCATGCAGGTCGGTGTTCAATCCCAGACTGTCAGTGGTTGGGCAACATTCCTTCCCCCCGTCCCATCTCGACCCCTTCCCAGTGCTAGTTGTAATGGCTTGGCGTTTTCTCTTGATAATTCCCTCCCTCTTAAGCAATGCAGTTCAACTATTTTAAAATTTACATTTGTCTACAGGCAGGCATTGGTTTAGATTGTTCCTCTTAAACTGTAAATATAAAACATCATAAATCAAACTTAAATATAGAAAAAATTGTGCAGACATCCAGAAGTCCATTTTAGTTCTGCTGTATAAAACCTATTTAAACATCAGTAATAAATGCTCCCTTTATTTTGAAACCACATCTGTAAAAGAGAATTGTCTGGGTCCAAAGTTGGAGGCCATACTCTTTGATAGCCCTGCAAATTTTGGGGGCAAAATTTGCAGGGTAAATGCACTTGGTTATGGGACAGACCTTAGGCTGGTTATCTTGAGATGATTTCGGGGCTTTTTAGTGTCCTCGCGGCCCGGTCCTCGACCAGGCCTCCACCCCCAGGAAGCAGCCCGTGACAGCTGACTAACACCCAGGTACCTATTTTACTGCTAGGTAACAGGGGCATAGGGTGAAAGAAACTCTGCCCATTGTTTCATTCCGGCGCCTGGGATCGAACCCAGGACCACAGGATCACAAGTCCAGCGTGCTGTCCACTCGGCCGACCGGCTCCCCAATAGTTGGTTGGAATAGGTTTCGGTTAAATGCTTTAAGAAATATAGCATATAACACCCTCCCACTTTCCCCTAAACAATTTTCATGAAATCAGGAAAGTGATCTGTTGAATTTGAAGTTTTGTGTCCATTACCTGTACAATTTTGATTTTCTCAAAGGATATACTGTATATATACTATAAATGTGGATAGATGGATAGGTAATGGATAGATCTGAGAGACCTGGGCTGAGCTGGGTATCCTCCTAGTACAGAATAAAATGAGTCCAGACAGGTATGTGCAATCATGCAAGAAAATAATCCCTCCCAAAAAGTTCATAAACACAATGTGGAAAGTGGGAGTTGGTATTCTGCCAAGAATGTGGTAAACCTGTGAATTAGTGTAATGTCCTTGTTCATTCACTTGACTTGTAGCATAAAAATGTATTCCTGCATTTCAGAATTTTATATAAAAAACTTACTTGCATACCAGCAAATCAAATACAGCATAGGTATATGTATAAAAGGGAGTGAAGCATTTAGTCTACAATCGGACAAGGGTTTTAGTTGACCTAGAATGTTTTGATGTTTTTTTCCTAACGTGTTTTCTTTTTCAGTACCCAACTCGAGTTTTGAGATCTATGGTCCAAACTTCTTGGAGAAATTCCTAGAATCTCATACGGTTATGTTCCAGGGCAACTCTGGCCTCAAACCCAAAGAAGGAGAAATAACTTCTCAACCTTGGCAGTGGCCAATTAACTTCAAGGTTTGCATATTTTCTGTTATAACAAAAACAGCCGAGTAATTTTAGTTGTTAGCTCTTCAATGTATTGTAGTTTAGAAATGAAAAGTTTGAACTGCTATTTGCATCATGGTATCCTCACTTAAGGAGGTAACAAAAGCTTGTAATCCTTTTTAATAAGGACTTGGTAAATGATGAGCCTTAGCCGTACACTAGTTTCTTTGCTAATGTACCTGCAAAGATTGGTCTACCTTAAGTATCAAGATAAAGTTGTAGCATAAATTGCATGCCTAATAAGGGTATGTAGATGTGAAAGGATTGTGCTAGTGTCCTGAAATTTAAAATATTGTTTAATCCTATCATTTGGATTTATTATGGAATGAATTAAAGTAGAATAATGACTTTGGAACACTGCATTGTTTAAAGTGTAGGCCCAAAGTTTGACTTTGGTAGAGCCTCACATGTTCAGATAGGCCTATTGCAGTTTTATAAATTTGTATTAATTTTTTTGCCTGATGAAATTGGCTTTTTGACAGTTTGATAGTGATATGAGCACTTGAGCTTGTAAAATTATCTCCATACCGAGCCTACGTACCATATATTATACTCGTAGACCATTCAGCCAGAACTGGTAGGGCTCTGTTACATATGAACTGTGCAAGAAGTACAAATTAAAATATCCCTTTACGATAAAAAAAAATAAAATCTCTGAGTATAGAATTTTACCAGTCACAAGAATAATATACATTAAAGAATATGAATTGTGGGTATATTTGTTCAGATAAATTGAGGCCGAGTGGATATTTTAGAATACCTTGTTCAACAGAAAGTTCTTTCCACCAAATTTAGTAGTGTTCACCTATAATTTGTAAACTTGAAGCTCCATGGTTTATAGCTTCCAGTGTCTTAACTGTTTCCTACAATACTTTTCCATCCTTGCTGGGGATGTCTACCACTGCCAGTTGAAAATGAGAAATAGGCATGATATAATTTTGGTTGCCTGCATATGACTTTAACCTTCTGCTTGCATTTTAGGGACAGCATTTCTCAGGTGGGAAGCCTCGCATTTACCTTCTAGGGAACCCGGTAGTATTCTGGGGCAACCTTGTGGCTTTAGTATGTTACCTCACACTCAGCATCTGGAATTCATTTCAAAATAAGAGGGGCTATTACATCTCTCCAGGTGTTAGAGGTAATAGATATCAGTGGTAATATAGTATTGTAATGCTTTAATGTAGCATGAGTTTGCACATAAAGCTTTGCATGCTGATACATGTGTATGCAGCACGATTTATTTTGGAGTTTCACTTTTTGTAGAATATTATTTGCTTACGTTTTACAAATCAACATTGCAATTTTTTAGGAAAATTTAACTGGTGTTCTACATCTGTTCATTAACTGAATGTCGCTTGTCCCTTGACCTGCCTGGCTTTGTTATTGAACAAGAGTTTTGTATTTATTATCCCACTTTTAATAATTTATTGCTATCACCTGCTGGTAAGTACTGTAGTAGTGTAGTATTGTTATTATGTGTAAATTTGTCTTAATAGTTTTGTGTGATGTTTGTCGTATTTGTTTAGGGACAATGGTTTTCGGCAATTGATGGCTTCAAGGTGTACCTTCTTGGTAACCCCATCATCTGGTGGGGCAACTTGCTTGTGATGGCTGCTTTCGTGCTCGTCTATTTCTACCATGCTTACAGGACACAAAGAGGAAATGTGGATGATGCTGAAACCCAAGGTAGGTTTAAGTAATGTAACATTACAGATTGTCCAGTAGGTGTCTCAAATTTATTTTGAATTTAAGGTGTAAATATTCAATATCTTATAATTAATTTGAGTATCTTAAGAATTGGGTTTGCACTGTCTTGCAAGACTTGGTTCTCATTTTAAAAATCCTACAGTATTAATTGCTGGGCATGTTTGTGGTGTTGTAAATTAAAGATGTACCATGTGTTCTTTTGACACGTTAACTTTTTTGTAAATGTAGTTTAGGAATACTGTAGTAATATAATTATTAGTACTGTATTATTAACCATCTCCATATGGTGAGTATCACTGAAAGTGACCCCAAACAATTCTAACAATGCAACTAAATGCATGGTTAAAATGACCTCGTGTATTTAAAAAATTTCACTACAGTATTAATATTGTAAATAGTTGGGACTCGTCAAGCAATTTTGAGGTTAAAGATTTGTAAATGTTAAAACAACTTAGCCTTTCATTAATGCTTTGACTATTTCAAAAAATTATGAACAAAATCTTTGATTTGTAAAAGTGATGCATTGCTGGATAAAAAAATTCAAATTCCATTTGTGAAAATAGAATTGAAGATTTTATGGAAAAAACAGAAATGTACTACAGTTGTGGACAAAATCAAATTGCACTATACAAAGGTACTTATCAACTTCCCCACCACAAATACTTCTCTCCCTCCCATGCTGTGCATGAAATAGTACTTATAATTCTTGCAATAACAAATTGGTGCCAATCCTTGTTCTCTTGAGACGACCGTCTTTTATGAATATTAAAGACTAAGTTAGGGCTCTATATGTGGATAATCTGAAAAGCAAGAGATAAAGACAAAAAGGAATACTATCGCTGATGTGGCGTTCAAAAGTTAATAACGGCAATCTTATCAGTCTTCCTCGTGTGGATAATTTCTTGTAGTTAATATAAGCATTTTATTTCCTCTATTAATCCCTTTCTTTACATATTCATAATTGCAGAGTTTGTTGAATAATCATGTTAACTTGATAAAATGTGTGAATCCTCTCCCCTTGTGCTTTAAAAAAAAAAAAGGTGTAAATTCACATTATTCAAACTCTGGCAAATTGAGGATTCACTAGTGTAATTTATCAATTACCAAACAATAAAGTATTAGGGTGTTGTAAAAGGATTGTGAGCATGATAATTTGGCATAAATCCTAATCTTCAAATGTGGCATAATGGAATATTTTACTATCGTGGACATTAAATTTAGTTTGTCTTAATTATGTTTATGAACCATTTTCAGTTACCTCAATGTACTCCCCTCCCCCACCATCCTTTTTGTTTTTTAATATACAAAATTAAAGATTCTTAGTTTCTTAAAAATCTAAAATATTGTATAGCTCGTCGTGACAAGACGCTAGAAGCATGTGGCTGGCTGGTGTTGGCATGGAGTCTCCATTACTTGCCATTCTATGCAATGGGCCGTATCCTGTACTTCCACCATTACTTCCCAGCTCTTCTTTTCTCGTCCATGCTTACTGGTAAGACTTTTCTGGTACTTGAGTAGGTATACAGTTCGGTAAAACTGACCTAAAAGTTAATATTTTATGTAATTTTCATGTTATGATTTGGTAATGTTGGATATCAGATGAAAAGTTTTTCAAATTTAAAGTTGTCCCTGTTTCAAATGCTGCAAAATTTGTTTGCATTTATAAGTGTTTAATATTGAGACAGTATTTTCAGTGTAGTTTATAGTTTGTATTTGAGCTTGCATTTTGCCAGATACTGTATATATTGGCTGCTTCAAATTTGAAGGACAGTTTGGCATAATTCAAATTTGAAGGACAGTTTGGCATAATTTCTATAAAACCTTGAGTAAAGGATGCCCCAAGCTTCATATAATTAATGACGACCCCTTTCCTTTTTTCATGGGGTGGGGAGGCATAAGTTTCATCTTGCCAGTCGACTGCAGCAATGCATTTCTGGCCAAGTTCGTAGTACAGTATTTCCATTTTATTTACCTCCCATGGCAGGTACCTTGCCTGGCAGGGGTCCTCCATACCGAACTGAGGACTGGAGGTGAAGCAGTGCCAAAGCTGCCTGGTTTTGCATTTGATTGTGATTTTTTAATGTAATTAAATTTGAAGTACGCACTTCAACTCAAAATTTGCAAGTCTCTTCCAGTTATAGTCACACTGAAAATGCTTGGCAAAAGTTAACTTTTCTTGCATAATGTAAATGTGTAAAATGATTTGCCTAATATATTTAAACTTTTTCAGGTGTTATAATTGATTATTTGCTAGAGTCCCTGCCCAGCATGGTTCCTCATTATCTATCATCATCAGTGTACCCCTGGCTTACTGGGTTATTCTACTCTACTTTAATTTACAGGTGAGTGAAAAAGTGGTCAATTTTTTATTTTTTCTGCTGCAGAGCTTTACCAAATTTACGACATGCATAATTGACTAAACTATTTAGAGGTATTATTAAATTCTGGAGAATTTGAACCATAGTGAGCCAGTTTGTAAATGGCGCATTTTGTGGGGGCAGAGTAAATGGCAAGAGCAGTTCATAAAAATAAAATAGGAATAATAGGTATGCTAAAAGATTAGTTATGTAGAAAAAGAACAAATAAGATGGAGAAAATTACATGCTAATTGGAAAATGGGAACCTCTTTTTGTAAACTTGGGGAAATGGAGCAAGTAGACTGGTGGGAGAACGTCGGTGATAAATATGGAAGATTTTTACGTATACAATAAATTGCCAAGAATATTTTGAAAAGTCTAAAGGGTACCTCTAATGAGGTGCTAATGTGAATAACTGAACATATTGTGAGGAAAATGGAATAGATGACAATTGGTGAAACTGAAATGTGAAGTGGTTGTAGGTGTAGATAAAATTAAATGTTAGTTAGAGGAAATTAATGTAGGAAAAATTGGCTATTACCATGGAAACACAAACCGAAATTCTCTTTTCCGCTTGTTACAACTTTATTACAAGTTCTTACATCTTGGCTTAACGTATTTATGACGTATTAGAATGTTACAACTTGCTATATTGGTTGTTATAGCTGGTTAGATGTTAAAACTTGTTTGAACGTTGTACCAACGTCGTAGTTTCGGTGTGTGTTTGGCGGGTAGACACGCGATAGTGGTGCTGTGCCAGAGTATTTGAGAAAGTGAATACAGTAAGATTTAAGGCAGTACCTTAACAAGTGTAGTGAGCAAAATATGGCAGGATAGTGATTGGAAGAGTTGTAGAAAATTACTAAGGAAATGATCAGTGATGAAAGGTAGGTTGTGGAGATGGAAGAGTATGTACATCAGCCATGCGTAGAATTTTAAAGTGTACATGGAATATTGACTTTAAAGGAGCATATGATATTCAACAGGGACTATGGAGTGGCACCACAAAATGGCAAAGCTGTAGTTAGCAAAGTGCTAACTACAGAGGTTCTTTATAGGAAATAATGCATGTGCAAGAGTTTAAGTGGCTCATTTTATTAATGTACAGGGTACGTTTAATTTCTATACCTAGACTGCTTTCCCATCTTATGGATGACTATTTCACACTTGTATGATAAGGTTTCTAAGTGTGAATTCAGTGTGTCAGCTTTTTAGTTTGAACTTCAGTAATACACAGCCATTAATTTCATTTTGTAGTGGCAAGATAGTGAAAGAGAATTGACACATTGAAGTTAAGGACCTCTTGTTCTGCCTATCACTGTTGAACTTACCTTGGTTTTGACATTAGGTAAAACTTGTATTGAACATGCTCAAATATTTTAATTGAATGTTTCTTTGTTGCAGTTTCTACCTATTTGCACCACTTGCATATGGAATGCACAACTTGGACCCAAGTTTTGAAAACAGCACTGTCCACCAGATTCGTTGGTTAGATTCTTGGGAATTCTAAGAATCTTTCGTGCATGATAGCAAGCCAAAATATTTGCTTTCCATTAGTGAAATATTTGTCTCGTATGCATTATCAAGGCCTTGAATTTTTGTTATGCATGTAAGTATAACATTTAAAATGATCCCACACTTGTGTACATTAGTTATCAATTTTGTTGCAAACTGTTCTCAAAGTTGCAACTACAGCTATAATTTGTGCAAATTTAGAATTTCTTGTGCACTTCTAAATGATTGCAGTCCTCTTCATGTTTATTAAAAGGGCCGAAGATATATTTTACACACAAGTAGTGAAAATTAAAATTTATCATGATAGTGGTAATTTTTTAGGTTTTTGGTGAATGGCCTTTTGTAGTTATTATAGCAATATATACTTGTTTCCTTGATGTTGTTGGTACTTGTTAAATTCAATATTTTTATACAATTTATAATAAAGTATACCGAGTTAGCCAGGTATTATTTGCCTATTGTAGAATAAATGCGAGAAAAGGCTTTTCAGACTTGAAAAAAAGTAAACATTTAACTTTTTGCAGTATGACATGCACAGGAGTTTTGCCTTACTAATGACCATCAAAGTTGTACAAAATGCATTTTATTTGGATTTATTCTAATACAAACATTAGTGCCAAATAATCCAAAAGCGATAGGTGGTGGTCACTGGGGCCAAATTGTATCTGTTCAGAAATGATGGGTAATGAAGAGCCTAAGAATCACTATCAACAGTGATTAATAGTTCCTAATTTATACCATACACATGAAATGAAACAACTTCCTACCAAGCTAGAAATTATCGCTTAAAGCTTTACAGCTTGGTGCAAATTACAGGCATGGAATGTGACCATAAACAATGGTTATTCAAAGAGGGAACCAGCCCAAACCGACATGTACCATGGAACCAGCCCAAAAAATACTGTATTGAGAATGATCAGGTTGGCAGAGAATTGGTCTGTTGTATCCTCAGAAATCATCAGAACATTGGTTTACCCTGTAACTGTTTGCTGAGGACATTGATCTTGTGCACCAAGAAACATGAAAGCGTCGAGAGAACAAACACAACACACAACAATCCGGTTACTCCTACTAGAATAGTAGAATTTACCCAACATATTTCTCCGCCTGTTGAGAGAAAAAAAATACATTAAAATAATTAGTTGGCTAGGCAGTATAACCTGAAACAAATTGTCTGGTTATTGCACTTAACATACACAACTAAAGATATACATATAATAATTTACAATTCGAGAAAACGGCAAGGAAATTTTTCAAATTTGGTGCGAATATTAGACATGCAGTTTGCATTGACTGACCAGTAAGCTGTTGTCTAGAAACCACGACTACGCCACGCTGGAGCTCGACAACAGCTGATGGAGGTGTTGAGGAGGGCTCTTGACGTTTTTTCCTAGATGGGTAAGGTCCACCACTACAAGGTTCGGAGCATTCTCCTTCACACACCTCAAGATGGCAGGAGATGAGAAAGTCGGGGCTTTCTCCAATGCGGAAAGCCTGTGTAAAGTTAAATGTGGTACTGTACTTTCATGCAGTATAAAGACAATCTCACTGACCCAAAATAGGGACCAAATGAATCTGGATTCAATGGTTCAAGAATAAGTACTGTAGACTAAAAAGCTTTGCTGCCAAATAAAATTTGAATGTAGTTTGTGCCACCCTCTCATCTTGCTTTGTGTTGTACAGCAAATTCATTAAACATTTTGGCATCTTCACCTATGTGTAAGATGCAGTAAAAATAACCTAATTTCAAGACCACCTAAGGGTGTTATGACAGTATATTCCTTCCTGCTTACCTATGGCCACCCATCAGTAACTGGGGGGTGGAATAAAAGACGAGGTATTATCTTCTAGTGGCAAACATGACGGAATTATCTAGGTGTAAGATGTTGTGCCTAAATTTCCCTTAAGTTGTTATTGAAGAGAAGGCAGTATCTACATAATATATTTTTATCAAATATGCTTCCACACTTTGAAAATCTATAAATTAAAGCCACTTTTGTCCATGCAGTAAATTTAAAATGTCTAGGTAAACATTCTACCTTTAGGTAAGAATACAGCATAAGGTCAGCCTCTATGCCATTCGTATTTCTTGTCTTTGAAAACTGTGTCAGGAGATCCGGTCTTCTCACACAACCACGGGAGTCCAGCAATTCCACTGTTGTACCCCCTGCAGAGCTTGCATTGCATGAGATCACATTTGCGTCCATCTTTTGTGAAGGATCTGCAATGATATTGACCAATTGTAAAGCCAAAAAAAAAAAATTATTTATAATTTATATTTTATGATATTGTAATTTGTAGTATAATACAGAATAACTTTCAGGATACTGAAATATTATACTAGATAATGTGTTTTTGGTGAATGAAATGTGGTAATGGTACTTCCATAATATTGTGAACAATACTACAAGAATGTGATTCATAAACTATAGGTATTTTATTTGTCAGGGGCACACACTATCTAGGCTTCTATTGAGGTCTCCATAAGGTTGAATTACTTGCCATCCACAGGGTGTAACACCACAACAGTTGCCTAACTCCCAGGTACCTACTTACTGCTAGGTGAACAGATGCCCCAATCATTTCTGTTCTGCCCGGGAATCTAACCCAGGATCCCAAAAGAGTAGGTAATGAAGCCAACTGTACTAAAAGACCCTCATTATTGAAGCTTTATCCTTTATCAGCTTTAAAAAGGCTGTTCTTGTAGGACTTTTTTTTTGCTAAAGAAAATTTCCTAAGCATTTACAATATTTTTTCTTAATTCTACTGTACATAATTTGTATATGAAAATTAAAATTAGTATTACCTTGGACATAAATAACAACAGAGGTATCATCACCCATGTAGACATAGCCAGTAGCAGGACTCGAAAAGGGTCCCGACCCTCGTTGGATCTCCATAAGTGTGTTTACTGACCGAGAATCCAACTCTATAGGTACCTAAAGGAGAGAGATGCCCACTGATGTAATAACATGTTATAGAAGGGCAATATAATAGGCCTCTGTATTTTGCATGTGAAACCATTTTATACACCTGCTCTTTTAGTGATTGTTAGTACAATATGAAAAAGGTAAAAGTATTTCCTAGCTAGCTATGTAAGTACACAGTATGTAACCCTTCATATAGTCTCGGGTAGCTGCATAAATGCAGATGCACTTAATTATGATTTACCTGTTCTCATTTTCAAAAGTAAAATTTAAATTCTTCTGCGTCAGTGGCTTTGCATGAATGTAAAAATACCAAGCTTATGTGATCTTTCCCCATATCCATTGTACCTTCTTGCAAATAAATTATATTAATTATTTGTTTGAAAATTAATTAAAGATGGATTTTTTAAATACAATATGTACTGTGTACACTGCTGTGAAGAATTATCGTACACATAGTATAACACTGAAAAGACTCATATTGCACTTTGAAATTTAACAGCAAAATAAACATTAGTGTTTTACTTGCCTTCAGGGGCTCGTAAACTTTAAATGGTGTGAAGCGGACACTTTTCTGAATAGTGTGTTGCCAAGTGCAACGAATGGCACGTGCCGTATCCCACACTTCTTGGATGAGGGCGTCATTCTGGATGATGATAGTGTTCTCAAAGTACATATCACGGTCTGGTGTGGCCATGTCCAACTGACCAGATGTGCCACAGTTGTCTATGGGTACGTTGAACCTGTACAGAAACAATACAAGATTTAACACTGAACCTGTGTAGGCATGAATAAGATGAACAATGAATCTTTAATGCAATAAAATTGACACTGGTGGCAACAGAATATCAAATACAAGAAATAGGCTTAATTCATGAAATTTCATGTACAGAGTGCTGTACTGTATTTTGCTTGTTTAGTACAATAAAGTTAAATAATTTTGCCCTCATTTACCTGCATTGAATCTGTTTTTATTTGTATTAATACAAATTATGGAAAACTATTCTTCACAAAAAATATTTGTTCAGTGACGAAGTATTTCTACATTCCAAAAAGGATCCAGATATGAGTATAATACATTTTAGTCCATCCAAGGCTAATAAATTGACATTAAATATTCAGTATTGTACATGTATTGCCTCTTGTCTGTGCTGATCAATGGTGCTAGAAGGTGTACATTAAGGTTTTAATAGTGTTGTGTGTCGTGCTTTTGTGTCCTTTGGGATGCCATATTAAAGCAATTATGGAGACTACATATTTCAAGTAGTACTACACTTCATGTACTCAGCAATATTGGAAGATATTATTGGGCTGTACCCAGATTTTTGCTAATGGAGGCTAATAGATCAGCCTTACACTACATGTTCTCACCTGATTTTTAGTCAGAGTTAATTTGTATTTATATTGAGGCAGATATTTTCTCCCTTGATTCCATGTCTTGACTAACCATCCTGTGAGATAGGAATATTATATGAACTTGTAGCTAGTTTTTGATCTACACTGTGTAATCTTTCATATAGAATAAGGTAGCAGCACACTGCTGTGTATACCTAAGCGTGTTAAAAAAATGTAACATGAGCTAAAGTAGCATTCCTAGTACTCGGGTAATGAAGAGGGGGGAGGAGGAAGGAATTATCATGGGAAAGCACCAAGCCATTACGACTATATTGCACTGGGAAGGGGTCAGGATAGGGATTTGGGATAGGACGGGCGAAAGGAATGATGCCCAACCACTTGGACGATCGGGGATTGAACGCCGACCTGCATGAAGTGAGACCGTCGCTCTACCATCCAGCCCAAGTGGTTGAAGTACACTTGCAATTCACTACGAACTTTTCTCGAGCATTTAAAAGTGTGTTTGTAATCATGGTAGTAAAATTATTGATAAACTCTTCAAAATAATAAAGTCATAAGGTTTATTTAACTATTGCTATTGAAAAGATAAAAAAAAAATGTATATGGAGAAACGTTTATAATTTTCTTGTAATAAAACGCTTGCAGTCCCATGTTGACAAATGAAGCTACATTTAGTACACCGAAAATATAACTAAAATTACTTCTTAAACAACTTTATTTACTGTTAGCCATTAAGCGACAGCAGTGTATCGTAAATAAGAGACCGTCCTTGTGTGGCTTGTTATCGCATTGTTAACACTATACAGCCACGTCCAGAGAGAATGGTGTTAAGGACAATAGCAGACGATGTGGCCACAATTAATGTAAGTAAACATTCATTTATTCGCAATAGAAGACGGCCTCATACCAAGTAATTCCGACGATACGTATTTGGTCAGCAGTTTATTGGTGGTTTTGGGGGGAAAAACATTCACGTTTAAAAAACTATTAAAGGCAAGCTTCACACTGTCTTGTTAATATTCACCAGCATTATTAAGTTTTAGTGTTGGGTTCAATGCCTATCAACCTGTAGAGGGGTTTAAATACCACCACAACACATTACTGACCAACCAGCAAGTATATTTTAGTCCTCAATATAGTTTAGGACTAAAGTAAACCATATACACCGAGATGAGTATAGCTCAGTGTGTATATATATCCCTGGTCAATGCCAAAATTATTGTTCGTGTTGTGTAATGCACGTCCACCTTGTTTGTCAATGATGCCAAAATAAAATAACAATAAAATAATACATATAAATTAACATATTAAACCTCATAACCTATCCCCCCCCAAAAAAAAAAATAAAACTACTGTATATTCTTCCGACCTCTGCGCCCGTCCAACAATAAAATAATGTGTAAAGAATATTTTCTCCAAGGGAACGGCTCAAAAGTTCAAGGTGGGAAACAACTTTAAAGCTATATAAGCGACTAGCAAGAATCTGTGTTTAACTTCAGCAATGTTGTATCAAATTCCAAACAAAAAAGAACTTTCCACACACAGCTTCTAATATAAATAGGCCTAAATGCTCAAGAATATGCATATAGTCGACTGAAGCTTGAGATAGACCAAAGGGCGAATGTTTAATGTCCAAGCTCGGCTTAGTACAGATGGGCGTCATTAGGTGGGTGGGTGGGTGGCAACAGATCATGCAGGGGGAGGAGGGGCAGGTGATGTGGGGGTGGATAGGGTGAGTGGCAGTAGGTGATGATAGGGTAATAGGGTATGGAAGCAGGTGAGAGGGTTATTGTGGGTGGGAGGAGGTAAGGAGGTACAAGTAAGGGAGAGGAGGTGCCGCGGGTAGAGAGTGAGGGTGAGGGCAGTACGCGAGGAGTCACCAAGGACGACCAGTGTAAGGTGATGAGTGCTGGCGTGACACAGCCCTCATGCACAACGTTACGACCCGTGTCCTCGCCTCCCTCTAGGGTCACGCCTGCATACACACACACATGCTATTGTCATCTCTGTGTATTTATAGGTATATACATATACCCGTATCTGAATTTACCTGAGGGCCACCATCTATTTAGTACCCCCCCCCCCACGACGGGGACAGGCAGCCGGCGCTTTGTCAACCCCTCCCCCACCCGCACCATTCTCTCCGATAATTTGTTCCACCTGGATTTTTAACGGCAGTAATATCTTGGCATTTATGGCTTCGGCGGGTAGGTGGTTACATGGGTTTATAACCCTATGGATAAAAACCACCTGTTTCCTGTCCAACATTGTGGCTTGTTGATCTTAAAGCTGTTGCCCGCTGTATGTGTGTTATATCTTGCTGGTTTTTCTTAAAGAAGTGGTCTTGATTAATATCCTCCATTTTGCTCAGTATTTTAAACGCTTCTGAGATGCATCCTGTCATGTCTGGTTTGCATTGTTAGTCCTGTGGTCCTCAACCTTTCCTGGAGAGTCCACTTAGTTCTGGGATAATTTATGTCGCTCTGTGTTATATTTTCTCCAACCCAGACACTGTACAGTACCTCTTTACTGCCCCCGTCATCCATCTAGTTATTTTCTGTTTCCTTCTTCTTGCTACGTACTTTTGGACAAGTTCAGTATTTTCAGGTATTTCTGCACACTACTTACAATTGGGGGATTCCGGGTTTGATTCCCGGGTAGGACAGAACTGGTTGGGGATGTTTCCTTTCATCTAATACCGCTGTTCACCTAGCAGTAAATAGGTACCTAGGAATTGGGCAACTGTTGTGGGGCTGCATTCTGGGGAAGGTCATGTAGTTTGACCTAGGGGGGAGACCTTGATACAGGTCTAATATATATAAAGGGTACACACGCGCACACACATACAGGCTTCCTGTCCCCGACAACGGAACTTATTATACACACAGGAATTTACAGGTATGCACACACCTTCGCATATACACGCATACAAGCACACCTGCACACACACATACGTATGTACAGGTATAAATGCACACTATCAAAAATGTTCAAGAAATGTCCAGGTATTATTTCATTGGGATAACATTACGCAAAATCCTTGCCAAATATTCCAAGTTTGCTAACTGTAGATAGTTTATATAATTTCTACATGCTGGCACTGCCTTCAAGTTTGTTACTTGCATACTCATAACGGCTGTAACATTAACAACAATTACGAAATTACTCTACTATGTACCCTTGTAACTTGATCACAGTTTCTAAGCCAACCAACATTGGTTTTTATGGTGCCTGACCCCCTTGTGTGGTGGTAAATATTTTGTTGGTGTTTACTAAACAAACTCTGTAACCAGTTTTAATTATTTTTAAGTCTTAGTTTTCAAGTTTATTTGTCAAATGTTGCTACTCAAACCTGAATCTAAATAATTTATATATATTATAAACAACAGAGGTCCCAGGACAGAGCCTTGAGGCACTCCACTTAAACGTTTTCCCACTCTGACTTAACCCCATTTATACTAACTCTCGTACATCATAAATAATTGTAATCAATGATTTATAATAGAACGAAATAAATTATACTTACGAATATTTCTGCCTTCCAGAATTTTTTTCCGTGATGTAGTTACAGGCGGGGTCATTAAAGTGGCCCTTGGAGTAAATAACGCCGGAAAAGACGCCATCAAACTCAATATGGACGGTCATGCCCGAGCGCGCGCACTTCACGTCTAGACGAGTCAGTGGTGGCATCATCATTGCTGGGCTCAGTGCCAGGGCCCGACCACTGCCCCCGCTGTCACCTAGTGTCAATACTGCCTGTGGGATGTAACCAATATATTTAATACAGAAATTACTTAAAAAACATCAGGAAGTCGTGACATTTTTCTCAAAGCTATTCGTGCATTTCGTGTTTGTATGTTATACCTCTTTACGAAACTGATGGAATTTCAGAACCGTTTATACAGGTTTTAAATTATTGAAGTCTGAAGATATAAGGAATAAAACACTAACAAATGAATGCGGTAAATATTAAACCACTATTAACATCATTAATGAAATGAAGCTTAACTCATCTGGCGAGACGCTTATACTTTATTTCCTTAATTAAATTGTGTACAATACAATGTTAAATTCATATTGTTTTTACAAAGGAAACACTACAATACACACAGCTGATACAATTTTCTGTAAGTAATGTTTCATATCACCACAGACCATAAACCATAAACTCCAAGCGTTATATTTTATCCTATCTTAAAAACTAATATCTTGTCTACTGAATAACCCTTGTGCCTACCTTAGTGCATTTGTAATTTTCCTGCATTTTACGTCAATATTAAACATTGAAACCCTCAATAAATTCCCACTACTATGTGCAATAGTGTCTTTAATCCAGTTTGCAAGTACAACGTTTTGCCTACAAAAATAAAATATATGAATTTTATTCTTAATTTCATATATAGTTGTAGGGTCTGATGAATATATCTAGACAATAGTTAACATTGTTTCCGAGCAATAAATTTCCCTATTCCAGTAGCATGTAGCCTCATCCGTCCCCACGCACCAATGTCTCATGTATTTTGAACAATGTTTAAAGATTGTAAATATGTCCCCCTAAAAAGTTGCAAGAGAACAATACCCTGGGTTAGCATTGACCTCACACACCACCCCGGGAAAGCTTTAATAATGTTTGCCTTGAAACACTGTTTTGTGTTGCGCCATTCGCCCACATCAGGACAAGCGAAGCCTTGCCATCTCTGTAATATACCAGTCAAAATAAAATATACCAGTCAATTGATATTTAAGTATATGTTCCTGTCAATTAAATAACTAAAGCTTCTTGCCATGAATGCTGACCAACAAAAGAAAGCGAGAGGGAAAACTGCGAACACGTTAGGTTGGCAAGCACTTTCCCTCTCAGGCTAGCCAGGCGCACCAACCCTTCCCGCAGTACCTCCCAGATATGTTAGATTTCCAGTTTTATACTTTATCGCTCGTAATAAAAGTACAATTTTGAATGTTTTCTTTCATTTAGGGAGAAAACTACCGCAGTGATATATATGTAGGGGTCTTGATACGGCAAGAAGTCCTGTGTTATTTAGCATCACCGGTATTATTGCTGACGACTTTTTCCTTGCTTTCTTGACTGGTCACTTGAGGTTGTTAGTGGCCAGTCATGGTGGTTATGGGTACTGATGGGCGCCAGGGCTGGGGAGGGCGGGGGGCGGTGTGAGGACCAGTACTCATAGCAACCAGGGAACTAATGTTCACGGAGGAGGCAACTGCATAATCACGGATTAGACAAAATACCATTAACAGTTTCCTGGATAAACTGATGAATTTTGCATGCGAAGTCGAATATTTCAAAATATTAATATAAAACAGAGAGAGAGAGAGAGAGAGAGAGAGAGAGAGAGAGAGAGAGAGAGAGAGAGAGAGAGAGAGAGAGAGAGAGAGAGAGAGAGAGAGGACAAAGAGAAAATGGAGTGGTAAAAAGAGAGTATGGGAGGGAAAGAGGAGCGGCACCCTGCCTTAATTACAACAAGCAGAGGCTCGTTACTAAGTTGTTAACTCTAAGCAAAACCAACGCCCAGGATAACTGTCATCAGGCACAGTGCGTGCGCGCGTGCTTACCTAAGTGTGCACACCTAGTGTCTACGTGTACGTGTCTAGGTGTGGTGCATACCTATTCGTGCCTACATGGCTCCAGCTCCAAACCATGTGTGTGTGTGTGTGTGTGTGTGTGTGTGTGTGTGTGTGTGTGTGTGTGTGTGTGTGTGTGTGTGTGTGTGTGTGTGTGTGTGTGTGCGTGCGTGCGCTAATCAAGATGGCAAACACGTGCAAATCATAAATCAAAGATATGAGTTACCGCTCATGTTGCAATTCACTATGGAATCAGAAAGCAAAAAATCGCGAATATTAAGAAATAATAAACTATTACATAAAAGAAATACAAGAATGATGGATAGAACAACCAATACATAACAAATGATATCATTACGGCTGATAATTATCCACTTTTATATACCATTTGTATATATCATGGCTGATCTAACCGTAGCTGAGACCACTGGGATATGTTGACCAGACCACACACTAGAAGGTGAAGGGACGACGACGTTTCGGTCCGTCCTGGACCATTCTCAAAGCTCCCAAAAGAATCTGGCAATCATTTTATATAATAATTACTCGATCAGTCACAATAACGTAGCTGAAAATATGATGACCAAACCACACACCAGAAAAAAACCATGTGTACAATCAGTAACCATGGGTAGAATCAGAAGTCATGGGTACAATCAGAAACCATGGGTACAATCAGAAACCATGGGTATATAATCAGAAGTCATGGGTACAGAAGCCATGGGTACAATCAGAAGCCATGGGTAACCATGACTAAACAAGACGATGCAGAAGCCAAAGAGAAAGTGTGTTGGTCCACAAGCCCGCCTTCAAGTAGCCTATCCATGACAAAGGAAGTCAGTTTTCATCTCTTAAAAAATAGTTTACTTTCCACAGGACATCAAGGAACAACGAGAAGAAATCCTATTAAAAAAATGGAATAATTATAAACGCAAAACATACACAGTACATTCGTTTTATGAAAGGAATGAGCAGAGTCATGACCCCGACATGAAGAGTCTGTCCGCCAGGATGAATGATTTTGTCGTGTCCACCAGTGACGTCACGCCACTCACCAGATGAAGAACGTCAGGAAATATTTATGGTAAACGTGGGAAAACGAATGTTTGTATAAGTGGAACATGGTGGAACAGCTTTATATTATTATTACTGGATTCTTGTATCTTTGTACAGGTAGGATATTTAACTAAATGATATACTATTATATCAAAATATGTTATGTTATATATAATATAATACAGAGGGTGATGTGTAGCATAGTGATTAGCGCAGATGATGCCTATGTTCATATAACAGGAAATAGATATCTGGGCAGAGGTGTAAATCTGCGTATATACACAGACAGTGAGATATACAGCTGTGTATATATATACACAGTTTACCTTAGTAAACTATTCTTGCTTATTGGTCAGTAAGCAATTGTGGACGTCTTTAATAGCCCTCCAGAGGTTGATGTACATTAATCCCGACAATAAAGACAGACATAGGAGTCAGTCGACTGTTGAGGGTAGCATCATGGAAGATGACTAATCGTTGGAAAGTGGAAGCTTGATTAGCCTAACTGGTTTCCTGTCCTGATAACTTGAAACAATTCAATCAATTTCTTATTGAAGTATAACATAAACGGTACTATGTGCCGGAATTTACTGTGTTTATAAATCCTGAATTATTGGATTAAAGTCATAAACAATAGAAATCGCATTTTCTCTAGTGACATTGGTACGTGCGAGCTTTGCCTAAGCTACTGGCTAGCAGGAAAATTCTGTCACTCTTGAATAGTAGAAACCAACAAGAGAAAGTTAGGATAATAATGAGGGGAGACAATTAGGAGAGAAGTCAGGTGGGAGAGGAGAGAGAGGTTGAGAGTGAGATAGGCTGGGAATAAGACAGCGAGAGACAGGGTTGGGCATGAGGGTTATCTTGAGATGATTTCGGGGCTTTAGTGTCCCCGCGGCCCGGTCCTCGACCAGGCCTCCACCCCCAGGAAGCAGCCCGTGACAGCTGACTAACACCCAGGTACCTATTTCGCCAGGGTGATGAAAATACTTACTGGTTTAACCGAGAAACTTCAACGACACACAGATAGTGATCTTCGTGGATTTTGTAGCGGCAGCTTGTACCGATCGAGGTACCTGATCATCGTCAGTTTTCAATTGTCGCCAGTCCGCCTAAATAACATCACACACAACCGGATATCTTTTAGAAGCTTTCGCTCCCGTCACGATAGCAGCGTTCTACGCGATCTTAACAGGTTACAGAAGGTGGACAGGACGATAGCTGTGATTATCCCAGTACCTGAATAGGCGCTGCTCTGTTATACCATCGACTTTCTCCACTGACAACCTGTAATGACTAGCTAGCTAGCCTATATTTACAAGAGTTCGTGAAGAATGCCTGTATTGTATCCTGGCTGACATTATCATAACACTGGGAATGTGCCGAGCTCAAATTGGTGGTATGCTGACATTGTAAACATGGTATGATGATACCGATGATATACTGGCACTGAATATACTATACTGTTACTAGTAATACACTGACACTGTTTTCTTATGTAGGAGGAAGATTCCTGTGCCAGAGTATGCTATGCCTATACGATAGAAACTCTGACACGGTGACTATGTTACGCCGATACCAGTGATATGCTGACATATAATACGTTATACCGTGCTAGTGGCTTTACAAGACTGTAATTACCATATTTGTATCCTCACATTCCTTATGTACATTCTTGTATATGCATAAATAAATAAATAAATAAATAAATAAATAAATAAATAAATAAATAAATAAATACCTATATGGTTCATGGCGATTGTGTTCTGGAGAGAACTTGGCGCTGAAAACCTAACCGGTTTCAGTAAGCCTACTGGCCCCAGGCTTAAATTCTGACATAATAAAAGAACTGTATAACACCGGTAAAATACTAACACGCAAGATTTAACAATAACACTTATGGCCTATAAATAACCGACGTATTGTAACCAATACGTCGGTGTGCAACCGACGTATTGACTCGCCATAATTCAAGTCGGTAATGATACCTTAGTTTTGGTAAATAATGTAAATAATAAAAAATACGAGGAAGAAATAGAGTAAAGCAGAAGAATTAAAACACGAAACTAAAGGGCGAATGTAGTACAATAAACAACAATTCTAAAGATAAAAGATGATATAACAGTCAAAATATTGAGCAGCAGCTAATGATTGGAAAAGTTATCTTACCTTCAACAGAAAATACAACGACACTGCCAGCCGCATGATGTATGGCCTGAAATACAATACATATTTAGTCTAAACGCTCGTCATTAGGTGATTGCATATTATGAAGATTTGCATAATGACTAAGTAAATGTTGTTTTTGCTGTAAATATTGTCATGATTATCTCCTGTACTTTGCCAAACATCGCAATCGGTTTAATAACATCGTTTATCTTCGCTAAATATTGCTATTTATATGATCCCCAATAATATTAAAACTTAACATTTCATAATGTTCAGTAATGGTCCAGGACGGACCGAAACGTCGTCGTCCCTTCAACTTCTAGTGTGTGGTCTGGTCAACATACTTCAGCCACGTTATTGTGACTCATCGCCTGTATATATATATATTATATATACAGTATATATAGAGTTTAAACTACTAGAGGGTAGTGCAAGGCCTTTGTGTGCTGTGTGGACGAGTTATAATAATATACCCCGAGCTAGGATATATATTATTATATACATCCTAGCTCCAACATGAATAACTGTTGGAGGTGATGTGTGACTGGATCAATTAAGGCTAGTAGCACTGGACAGGTGACCGCGTCCCCCACGGCTAGGGAGACCCAGGTAAGCCTAACAGGCTTCATATCCCCAACAGAGATACCACACCATAATAATACATTTAACGTTCACTACACAAATGACTGGGTTATTAGAACCAAAGTAAATAATGGATCTTGTTGTAATCACAGAAACATGGATGAATGTTAAAATCAGATAACTGTTAGTAGAATAAATAATGGGAATACAATAGGATGCAATAGGAAGCATTGGAATTTAACTGTATGAAACTTATGATGAGGAAGTTATATGGATGGGAGGTTATATAAAGGCAATCAAACATGAACAACCCTACCCTCACCCACACAACCCTTCTCTCATCTACACCACATCTCTCCCACCTACAGCACACCCACACAGACCCTCTCTCGCCTACACCCACACAACCCACCCCTACACCCAGTCCATCATCCCTGGCCGCACCCCGCCTCGGATAATAATCAGGTGTGGAGTAGAGTTATAACAGCATACAGGAGGGAGGCGAGTAGCGGTCTCGCCCTCTGCCAACATCATCTGTGTTGATGACGACACACAACTTACTATGGGAGAGGGATGACGAGAGCTCGGAAGAGGGTGGAGGCGAAGAAAGGAAGGATGTGGTATAAAGTAGGGAAGGTTGAGGGATAACAATTGTAAGGATGTGGAGGGTTGCGGGAATGGAGAAAATCAGATGTTGGAGGTGGGAAAGGAAAAGTGAACGGACGTACGCACACACGGAATCAACACCGCCATTCAGACACATTAAACAAGTAGTATTCAGGACGCATCCCCTTCAAATGTCTACAAAAATGGACAGCGAATTTAGCACTTGGCCCGAATTCAATAATCGTTGACACCAATACGTGTCTTGAATCCAAAATGTGCTGTCGAACACCTGGGATGTTGTTGCAGGAGTTGTAGGCTGAGTGGTAGTGTAATGGCTACTGTAGTGGGCTACATCGGCTTCTTAACTGCTTGTTGTAGTGAATAATACTGTCTATTGTAAGGGTGGCACTGGCCATTGTAATACGTAGTTTTGCTGCTTAGAAGCGCTCAGTGTCAGCAGAGGTAGTGGTTGGCGTAATCAGTTATATTGGGTGTTGTATGTAATACTGGCTATCGTAGTGGGTTGTGCTGGCTGTTATAGTAGCAGCTAAGCTGCTAAAAGATAATGGCTCTGAACATGATGAGAGAGAGGAGAAACAGAGAAGGGATAGGGACCTAGGGAGACGGGTGGAGTGAGGCAGAGCAGGAGGGAGAGAGGAGAGAGATGGGCGGACTGAATGCTAAGCGACAAAAAAGGGTTGACCGATGGCAGTAATTGAGGTGGTACTCCATTTGGACAAGACTGTGGAAAAGACACGTATACTGTTTGTCTTTCTCTTTCCTCTCTCATTACACTGTACGGATTACATTCTCTTTCATACACACACATAAATGCAAAGAGCAAACCATTCATAAAAATCTTGACAGTCACACCAAACATTTGTACAGTATATTCCTAACATGGCAAGGTTCAAGGATACTACCCACGCATACCCCTGGTGCATATACGTGCTAGAGAAGGATAACGGAGTGGACGAAGATAGCGAAACACTGGGTCACGTGACTTTTGCACTAGTTTTTTTTTTTTTTTAGTAAAGAGCATGGAAGAGGCACAGGTGAAGCAAAAGTTTAGAAACGGGAAATATAGTTTGAGTTATGATAGCAGGCGGGTTGTCCGCCTTGCTGACAAGATGTTATGATAGCAGGCGGGCTGTCCGCCTTGCTGACTCAACTCTGGTGTGGATGTGCTTTGCCAACACGGGTCTCGAGAAGCTTGATGACGGTGGCTCACTTTTCACTTTTAAGGAAGTAAAATTAAATGGTGTTAATGACATATAGTCAAACAGTTGGTTAAAGTATACTGTATACTATTACAACTTACACTGAGCTATAAGATAATAGCCTATGACAAGATGATTGTGTAAAAAGAGTAATGGAAGATTTGCCGAAATACTACCCAATCTGTTAGTAAGATATCAACTCTCAATTTTAGGAGTACCAACATATAACGATATCTATACAAAATGAGTTTTTATTTATATATATATATATATATATATATATATATATATATATATATATACCTACCACTACCTATATATATATATATATATATATATATATATATATATATATATATATATATATATATATATATATAATTTGGAGCAAGACATTATGGGAACGTACGCAAAAGCTAATATTGAATCAGATGACATGTATTTTATTATTGTTTTTTATGTCAATACAAGTATATCTGAATAGAAGATGACTGCTTAGTTATGCAAGAGAACACTCTTCACAGCACTAGCTACACATATCTTATATATGGGTTAAAGCAGCACCAGAATCTTTTATGAATCCACTGATCCATATCTTTATAATATCTATAATTACTAATTCTTAAGAATTCAGTTCTTAATGCTTAAAGTTAAAGATGTATTTTTTTAAACATAACTTTAATATCTAACCTTACTTCATGGTGGGGTTAAAAGTCTAGCTTTCCACGAAATTTATCCCAGTTATGAAGAAAATGTCAGATTTTATAAATTATACAAATTATACAAATAGCGTGGGAATATACTGGTTTGTATCCATATTGACAGCCACATACATAGCTCAGTCAGTCAAGCAGGAGCCGCTGCCACACACAGCCAAAACAAACGAGTACAGGGAGATAGATCTTCGGTACAATTGTGTTCCTATAGGATCAGAGACCCCTCGGTCCAAAGGGAGAGAGTGCAAAAAGGTTTCTCAAGGAAATGGTTTAAGGCTCATAGAAACAAGAGATCCCTAGAGCAGCGAGCTTCATTTTCCAGCGTTCCTGTGTCGCGATCTAGAGGGGAAATGCCCACTGCATCCTCGGTTCCTGTCCAGCGTCGGAGGAGTTCGAAGAAATCTACAGCCACTAGGGAACAACCTCCTTTTTCTTTCCTCTTATGTTCACATTTTGTCACCAATCAGTTATGTAACTGTGTAACCTTGTAATAAAGTGTACAATAGCAATAAAAGGGTGTGGTAGGAGATGCTAATACTCATACGTATTTAGTCAAACGACAAGTTTTTCCTGAATGCTCTTTATTCCCTTCACGGAGGCTATGGATCTACACAATTGCACCAGAGGTGGTATCCCCTTTGTTTTTGTTTAGCATACTAGATCCTTAAATGATTATATAGCACCCCTGGTTACTATAGTGCGGGGAAAATGCTTAAAAGGCTTGACAAAATTTAAAACGAAGCCATGATGATCATCCTCCGATGCTCCCTAGGTTACTTACGCAATATGGGGAAGAACTCAATATTCCATGCGTCAGTAATCGTTAATATTAAAATTAATGGCTGAATTATATAAAGTTACTTAGATAAACCCATTCCAACCCCAGCATAGCCTTAAGCCAGACTGATGGCCAGATCACAGAGCTCTTCCCCTCTCGTAAACAATTTACGCTGATGCGCAGGCGATGAGTCACATTAACGTGGCTGAAGTATGTTGACCAGACCACACACTAGAAGTTGAAGGGACGACGACGTTTCGGTCCGTCCTGGACCATTCTCAAGTCGATTGTGACTCCACAATCGACTTGAGAATGGTCCAGGACGGACCGAAACGTCGTCGTCCCTTCAACTTCTAGTGTGTGGTCTGGTCAACTTACGCTGATGCCGCTGGAAGTGAAGTTGTGAAGAGAGACGACTTACACTCTTTAGACTGAATTGCTTGTCAAAATATTGCAATCAAACATGTACATGAATCCAAAACCCACACAGTAATTGTAAGCGACTCCATCATCTCTGAATGCACAAAATTTCTCAAGATATTACTGTAATATCCAAAGTGTCTAAATCAAGGCACCATTATAATAAAATCACAAATGATGAAATTAGAGTTTGTCTCCAGTGATTACATATTGGACTACGAATGCATGATAGAAATGAAGAGTTAGCCGAAGCCCAACTTCAATTTCCCTCTTAAAAGAGTGAATTGATTACCACTGGAAAGCATATCAGCAGCTTGAGGGCAGTATTATAACGAGAACTAATACAATTTAACCGACCCAAGACAAAATGAACGCTACACTAGGTATTCCATCTGTCACACTACAATACAGGAAGAGATACATATCTGTGGGTCTTCCGATAAGGTCGGTAGGCTTCCAGACATTACCACTGCTAGGCTTAGGCTAGGCTATAAGCACTTTTATTTTTAAACTATTCACTCTCTCTACATCAATATGTAATTGGATGTGAACAAATCTAAGAATTTAGACAAGAAAATTACTAATGTTCAAGAAACGTCTATGTAATTATGGACGACATATTAGCCAATTATTTGAAATATATCTTCAAGCTCGCACTTAAAGATATATTTGGTTCAACAATTTTCCTAACTGATGACCATACACTGTGCCCCCTGAGTTGAGA